TGTGTTTATTTTTAGTTTACTTACTGTTTATACGCATAGGCGATGTATACATGTAGAACTTTATTTAGCGTGTTGTACACATTGATTACCATAACGATGTTAAAAAATGTGTTTAATATTCGTGCGTATAATATAGCATTAATAAACGGTTTGAATTCAAGTTACCTGCGTTATGTTCGGCTGTGGAGACCCGTCAGAGTATACTCATACACTACGCGTGTGCATTGATTTCACTTTCTACCGGTTGTGATCCTCTTCCCATGATGTAACCCGGTCACCACCGCCGCCGACGCTGTGGGAGGAGTCTGCATGTAAAATACAAAATATTATGTATAATGTTGCTGTTATATTGTATATATATACATGTAAACAGTACAAAAATTAATATATTATATTGTATACAAACTACAAAACATGGACAATTTAAACGTTAACCGGTTAACCAACACAGCGACATAATATAATTACAACTAAATCGTATAGATGTATTTGATGTTAGGTCTATCGGATAGACTGCGGGGGTTTACATCCCTCTACAACAAGACAAGTGTCTTACTCAAATTCAATGTTGTTCCTATTATTAATTATGTGCTTATTATTGTAGCAGTAGTTCTGAGAGGATGGTATAGCTGGCGCCTACCAGGAGCGCAAAATATTGAACGAGTGAAGAGAACTCAAAATTGTAGTTTTATTTACAATTTTCAGTTTTTGGAGTGCAACTGATGCTTGTCCTGGTCGTGTTAGTATAAGTATAACGGGGTGTTCCACAATGAATCGACAAATTAAATAACTTTTGTCGAATTATTGTGGAACACCCTGTATAACAAAAAAAAAAAAATTTAATGTATACTATACATCTTCTGTCGAAGAAACTGATGCTGGCTAATTATCCCCTCCCAATGAAAAAGTACTAGTTCCACCAGTGCCCACATACCCTATTTTTATATAATATCAAATATGTACTCTTTTTTTTACACACAATTTTCACAAAATACTTTTTATTTAGAAACATAATGTATTAGTGTCTGAATATTTTCAGGAGACAGGGGGGCATTCAAAACAAATGAAATCCAATAATCTAACTTTTTAGTTAAGTTAAAAAATATTTCATAGTTGTAAATCGATTTTTTGTTGTGTGTATTTGATTAGTTTTATCATTAACAATGTCTATCTATGTCTTTGTTATCAATTATTCTTCTCCAGAAATATTTGTATTGTCCGTGTTTATCAGTGTTTAATTAAAAGTTAAAAAATCAGATTTTTTTTCTAAATCCAAAACAGCTTAAATCTTATTTTTGGCCAGAATAGACATATTTGATAATGACTGTCCCCGAAGAATTATATTGTATATTATAATTTTAGAAATATTTAGTACCTATTTAGCTTTTAAGTAGCCAAAATAACATATTTTAGCAAAATATTTAACGAAATATATATAAATTAAGAGCGCTATCAACTTTTAAAATTTAAATAATAGATGTTACGTATACGGTATACACTATTTTATTATTATTTTACAATTAGAAAATTTTGCTGCAATTTGAATAGTCCATAAATAGTTTTGAATAATTACTTTTAAAGTTTAAAATTATTCTCCCATTCTAAGTTTTAACTATCGACCAGTAAAAATCTTTAGCAAACTGTGCCTAATTTAGAATGTAATAAAAATAGTCAGGTATACATAGTTATAGCACCCCCTAAAATATAGGTCTAGTTGGGCCTATGAATAAAATGTGTACGTTAGGTACCGTTTAAGTTTCAAAAATCGCTCCGGAAAATAACAAAAAAAGGTAAATGCGTATTTAGAAATAGTATAATATTGTAAAATGGCATACAAAAATATTTGATAAAAGAAAAACTACAAAATTGCAAGTATTTCCGGAGTAAATGAGTGGATCACATTAAATTGATCACTCTTCATATTATAAACAACGAGTATTTCATCATTAAATACAAAATTATCTGTGAGGTTTCTTCATTCAAACTAATATGTTTTTTTCCTTAGTAATTTTTTTAAAGATTTACATGATATTTAAATTTTGTTGACATGAGTGTCTTACATATGGCTTGAGGTCAGACAAAATAACGTTTTTTTCGATGTCTAATATCAAATGTTGACACTTGACTTATATAATTATTGATAGTGTATAAATCCCTTAAGAGCAGCAAGACGTATCACTTAGTATAGGGCTAATAGCTAATGTACAAATGTTTTTCTCGATTGTGTGTTTAGTTAGTTAACAGTTATTTAAACAGAGCTTATGTGTAACGAGGGTGGAATGTGGATGACTATTGTTTTACTGTATGCGGAAATCGGACTAATTGGTCCCTCTCGTACAAATACTCTCTAATAAATATGTAAATGTTGACTGTACGACCGTTTGAAACCATAATAATAGACGTATAAAATATGTTATTATCTGTTCTGATAAGGTTAGGCTCATGATTTTCTGCTAATAATTGTTTCGCATAACTACTATCAAATAGCAAACACATTTTATACATTTTTCACACCATGTATCAAAAATATTAGTAAGCGTTGTATTTCGAAATGTGTTTACAAACTTATAACAATGAACAACCACATTCACAATAAGAATACCAATCGAATGTAACGTTTACACTTGTAGTTAAATTCTCTGTAATACCTATAATAATAAAGCGAACGACTTGAGTGTAAAATTTAATATTGCGAACATATTTTACTATAAGTAATCAATTTTTATGAAAAAACATGGTTTTTACTGGTTTAGATAAAACATTTAATTACTAGTATCAAATTATTTTAGTAGGTATAGTAAACTTTTTCTTAAAACGGAGTAGTTTACAATTTCTTCTATATATACCTACGGCCTCCTGGATATATGTACCCGTCCTACACCCACGATTACCTTTATAATATGTATTATAACCTATAAGATTTTCACACTTAACATACTACAGTCACCGCCCACCAGTCACGGTTTTTAATAAATAACAGGTACCTATTTTAATTATTTATAAATATTATAAATAAAATTGTTTTATTTTTACCTCTATATGTGTATCAATACACGACATACATACGTTCAGAATACTGAATAAATAATTTATCGACCATAATAATCATAAAAACAAAATTAATTTATAGCTCCTAGCAATGACTTGAAGTTTGAACATAAATTAAATAGAAATCATAGTTCATACATTTATTATATAAAAGTTATAGTTGTATATAAGTACGTCATATAAATTAAGAACTTAATGTTCCCTGTGGCTACGGTTTTAACTTCAAAAGGCTTTTTAATGCTCAAAATGTCAGTACCACGTTATAATGATTTTTTTATATAATAACTCTTTCTTACCTTCAGTTCTAATCTTAGATCTTTTTAAAAATGATCTAAAGTTTTGATGACCTTAAGAGCGATATACCTACCTATAGGTTTTACATGGTTAAAATTAATTGGATACCTTACCACACCTCCTCGACGGAAATCTGGTATAGTTAGATAGGATACATATTATTGTTTTGTCCTCCAACACAATAGTTGCCATGTTTTTAATCCGTGACAATAACGATCGACTAGTATTGGTTAGTATTCTATTGAAGTGCTCATTCGTCAATCGTCCTTCTAAATGATAACTGCAACTACTTTCTCTCAAATACCCTTACCACCTTTAGCTCTTCTATAATTATAACCTTTGACTTAAAAAAAAGGAAACTATAAACATATATATCTTACTCTATCATCTAATTCTATCTGTATCAAATTTTCAAAACCTTTAAAAACTTAATTCCAAACCTTTTTAAATTTAATTATTAATGACCAGAAGTAGTGATTGAATAATCAATCCACTTGGATGACACTATAGTACTACGCTGTTAGTATTTCACAGCGTGTAGATAACTTACTTACCTAGAGAATATATTTAAAAACAAATAAAGCAAACAATTATTTTATGATCAATGATATAGGAACACATTTTAATATTAATTTACATTTTTTATTTAATACCATTTTGTAACTTCAACTTACACAAAACAAAAAAAGATCAAAATAATTAAAATTTACTATTTATTAAGAACACAATACATTATATTAATAAGTAGTATTAGGTGAAGTTATTTTAGCACTTACAATCAGATAAAATCAGTTTCGTTGCATAATTCATATATATATATTAGCAGTACGGTTAATTATAAGTTTATGAAGTAGTAATATAATTAATTTGTAGCAATAAAAAGTTTAAAATAATACAACGGATGTATGATAAGTAAAGGCAATTGAATGAATACAATTTATAAACAAAACAAATCCATTATAATATGCAAGAAGTATTTTAATGTAGCTTTAATATTGTATGATCATCAATTGTTGGTAATAAATAAAAAAAAAAGGTCTTAATTAGAAATAATACAAATTGGTGATGATATTTATTAAAATTATTTTGGTTGTGGAAAATGTTTAATCTAAAAGTGGCTTAGGATTGTTTTACATTTAATGATAACAAAAATGAACTAATATTTGTATGTAAAATTAGATTACAAAATTATAAATGGGTAATTAGGTAATGAATTATTACAAACAATTATTACACTAATGACTATAGTGAAAACATATGCGTCTTATATATCACATTAATAAAACATTTTTTTTTCAATATTAAAAAATAGTAAATTACAAAGTTTATAATGTGGGCAACTTAATTACAGAAAATCAAACTTAAATGTATTCTTTACTTTTCCAAAACGATTTTGAGTTTAATAAATAACTTTACTACTATACATTTAATATGACATTTAAATGGCAAGAAAAAAATTAGTGAAAGATAATGCTAAGATTACAGTTGTTGACATGTAAAGTATTTTTACATTCAAAATTAAAGACAAAATAAAAAATTAATACAAAATATGTTGGTTTTTTACACTTACTTAATAATACTTAAAAATGTATACATATATATATAAATTTATTAATATAATATTGGTATTAAAGATTCGTATTAGTTTTAATGCAATAGTCAAAATTATTTTTTTATAATGAATATTAGACAGGTTAATTGAAAACGATGATAAATATCGTTTATTATTAAAAAAATGGCAAAATAAGAAATCTTCATACTGTGTTGTAAATTGTAACTGAAACTAGGCACAATTTAAGTTATATTTTATGTAATGTGATGACTCCTTTATACATGTGTTTAGTATTAATTAATTATTTTATGAGAAATAAACATTTCTTATAGTTTAAATTATAAACACCATTCGAGAATAGTTACGAGATTCATTATCGGTAGTGACTTAGGTTTCATGTATCTTACATAAAACTATATTTAATTCAAGTTTTAGTAAGCTTAATAAAATTAATTAAGCTTCCAAATTGTTTTATAGTTATACTATTATGACAAAATGTCAGTAGGCTTTTCAAAAGATGTCTGTCCTTTGAATTATTTTGTTTTTTCACACAAAATAAGAAGCCAGTTGTGCCATCTTATCTTTTGGAGGTTTTGGTTTACCTTTACCCTTATGTTTAGCTCGCCCACGACCTTGCCGACTATTAAACACCGGTTTAGATGCTTGAGCCCGGAATTTCTCAACTAAGTAACTAAACTCGTCACAGCAAAATAAACAGCCAGTCATTTCAATCAAATCGCGGGGTAACCGAGTACGTTCCTAAAAACATAAATTATTATTTAACAAGCTGAATTATCAAACATATTATTTGATTGTTTACAATAAATAAATTACCTCTTTATATTCAATTTTTAATAACTGTGCTCCACAATCACATGCTTTGCTTTCAACAATAATTTTGTGAGCATCTTCAAACAAATGGAATATTACATCGCATCTGTTACAACCGACTTTCCACTTAGGGCCAGATGATGGATCCAATACTAATACTCCATTATCACATTGTAGACAACTGGCTATACCATTTACATAGAACCCTTGTGGACAAGTTGGATGAAGACATAAATTACAACCACTGTGTATCTTCATATCACGAAATGCTGGTTGATTATAGCAATAAGGGCATAGTGGATAGCTGCGACCTTTCGTACCAGTTGACCATGTTACAAGTTCAAAATCATCCAATGGACATTTTAATTCCTATTAATATTAAAATAATATTTAACTCGAAATATATTGACGCCCCGTACGAAAAGTAGCACCGTTCATGAGTTCATACAAACACTAGCACCGTTCACAGAGTCTTACGAAAAATAACACCGTTCAAGTTCTTACAAAGACTAGCACCGTTCGTGCTATTGTTCCCATTGTTGCCAAAGGTGCTAGTTTTCGTAAGAAATTCGCGAACGGTGCTACTTTTCGTACGGGGCGTCGATATTAAATTGTAATACTTATAAAATATGTAACAAAATTTAAATGAATATACCTTGTAGATTCTTATATTCCCATTTTGAGGTAAATTATATGTTTCATCACAATGGGAACAATGCAATCGAGATGGTTTAGCTATAATAAGTTTCATATAGCGGCGGCATTTTCCACACCTACAATATTCACATGCAATAAAAATGTGAATAACATTATATAATAACATTGATAACAGCAAATTATTACCTCGAAAGTGCTTTACCAGAAGCTGCCAAAGTTGTGAACGACACTTCAAAAAGAGAATCCATACCTTCAATCGATTTAACAAAATATAAATATTTCTGTCGAAATGCTTCAATTGTTTGTCTTAGGACACGTTCATAGTTAGCTTCTCCTTTGGCTATCAAATTCAATTGATCTTCTATAGTAGATCGCATTGTTGGTTCTACCAACTGTTTGTCAATCTAAATATTTGTAATGATTATAATAATTGTAATTTCTAGTTTTATTGTTAAATTAAATATTTAATAAGCTAGCTCCACATTCTCAATGAGGCCAAGCGTGGTAAGGCAAGCATGAGAGTATAGTCAGGTGCACTTCTTGCCCCACCTCACTGTCACTTTATCCCGTGATGGATTTTTTTAGGGCGAGTTAAAGGACACAAGGAGAAAGCGTGGAGCTAATTTTACAAGTTTTACATAAAAATGTTTACTTTCTGATATCCATGCACCAAAACTATGCCTAAATTTGTGGGTACAAGTCTTCGGCCAGAAGCAACAGTAACATAGTTACGTTGTGATATATTGTTAATGTGGACTGGAATTGAAGCATCAGTTCCTATACCATGTTTTTCCATCAAAGAGATTAATTCAGACTCTGTAAGGTAACCTGGTGGTGATGTCATGTGATCAGTAAGTCTTGCCTAAAAAATATTTTAGTATTCGTTAGGACACACAAAAATGATAACTACACTATTATTTATTGTTATATTAAAACGTTTTTTTAAAATCTTACATCTTTGATATTAAGCTTTTCATCACGTTCAAAATTAACAGCTAATTCATTTTTTGGCAAAGCCTTCCAAGGTGTAATGGCTGTAAACCCAGCATCAATCAATGTACGCCAATTGTATGTGAAAGTTTCTGAGCCAATTTTGAAAGTTACAGTTTTTGAAAAAAACCTACAATCTTTTGATATTGTTGCAACAAAATGACGAGCTATAAAGTCATACAGCTTCCACGAGTCTCCATCTAGTTCATTTCGAGAAGCTAGCATAGTGGGAGTGATAGGTGGATGATCACCGCAGTCTTTTCCATTTCGTGGTCGGGTTAAACCGCAACTTAGTACTTGACGTATTTCTGAATTCCATTCAGGACTCTTTTCAAGAGTTTTAATAGCACCACTGAAAAATAATTATTTAGTAATAATTAAGCTTTATCAATTATCAAATAACATTTTTTTCGTTTTCCTCAATTCCGAAAGCTAGTTTATTGTGATAACCCTATTGTCTAAGCAATACTTTTTACTGTTTCTTGGTAATGGTGTACTACCAATCTCCGTTAAGTTAGGAGACAAGGAGGAATAGTGTTTGCAATGAGATAATGGCAGTTGTAGTCTTGGAATTTGTAACGCTGTAATACATTTTTACATTGTGCCAGTAATCTACCCGATGATTGTAGCCAGCTGTATAATCACTGGCTACACCGGCCCAACCCCTCAAATAAAAATGTGTTCTAAAATATTTGGAAAGTAGCAGTCAATATATTATTAGCAGTAAACAAATGAAAAAAACAGAGAAAAAAAATCAGTAAAAACACTTTTTTCTAAATGTAAATTTCGTGTTATAAAATTAATTTTTACTAGAATTTTTTTTTAAAAAATTAGTATGTTTTTATTACATTAAAAAAAGGTAAAGAATACTATTTTTTCACTGTATCCTTAAAATCTAAATTTGTCTAATTATAAAACTTACACCAAATCAAAGTTATCTGAATAATGAGTAGTTTCAGTTCTTGGGTAACTAATGTACCCTTGAGTGTAAAGACGCTCAGCCAATTGCATTGCGTGATGTGGACCCATTCCCAGACCAGTACTGGCGGCTCGCATAAGTTCTACTGAATTTAATGCCAATGGACGCTGTTTTGACTTTTCTTGTTGGGATATAGAGATAACACTAAAAAGGAAAAGGTATTAGATGCTATTATTGTAATCGAATAGTTACTTGAAAAAACATCAATCATCAATGCAATATTATGCTTACGTTGCCACTTGTTGCTTTTTTAATGCTTGAAGTAAATTATTAGAAGTATCACGTTCGAAACATCTGCCTTTCTCCCAGTTAAGAATCACATCTTGCCCTTCTTTTGATTGAATTGTAACCTTAATAAAGCAAATAATTTTATAATGTTCAACAAAATTGCTACTAGAGTTGTAACTTGTAACTTACCTGGAGTACCCAATATGGTTCAGGTTTAAATCTTCGTATTTCATCATGACGTTGAACACAAAATCCTAGAGTAGGCGTTTGACAAGGACCATAAGATATTAGAGATGAGTCTAAATCTCCGTACTTCCCCTAAAATATTAAATATTACTGAAACTACTATATACAGTTATTTAATATTATTATATTTTAATAGGTACCTGAAAATATTTAGTCTGAAAACGTGTAAATGAACAACCAATACGAAGATCAAGTTCTTGTCTAGCATCAACACTCATAGCTTCATTTCGGTTTGGAAAATCTAGTCTATCCATGGCTGCTTTGATATCTTTAGGAGTTATGGCAGAAAATTTTGCTCTCCAAATTCTCTAAAAACGATTTAGCCATAGTATATAAAATATGTTCTAAATGTTAAGAATTATTTTTAGTATCAAAACGTTAACTTACAGTCATGTCATTAGAGCGCTTCATAGAATTTTTAACAGCATCTATAACTTCAAAACATATATTTTCTCCTTCTTTATCACAATCCAACCATAGTATAAGATAATCGACCCCTCTTGCTTCAGTGGCCAACATTGCTGGGATACGCAATTTAGGTGATGCTTCTTTCTTTTCAGTAGGACAAGAGAAAAGTTCTTCCTAAGAACAAATAATGCATTAGCTAAATGATATCATAATAAAAATTACCACTATATAATTGTAAATAATAATTACTGGATCAACTTTATCCCAGTTGTTAAACTTGCTGTTGAAATCTAATGTCATCACATGACCACAGACCGAAGTCATTTTAAAAATAACAGGTGCACCAAAAAAAACACCAGACCATTCATGTACAGGACAAGCTGAGTTCATACCTGTAAAATACTTGATTTATTAAAATACTACAACAAAAATAAGATGAATTTAATAGACAACAACTAAGGAATATTATGTCTATACAATAACATCAAAGTAAAACTACTTAAAGTCTTATTGTAGAGACACATGATAAACATTAAGTATATATGTTATACAACCTAACTAACTTACTAATAAATATGATTCAAGCATAATATAAGGCTTACTTTTTCTTGAACTACTTCTCCCATTACTAAGAATGTTAGCTAGTGAAGAAGCCAAAGATGGCTTTTCTGCAACCATAAGAGCTGTTCTCATTTTAAGAGTGTTTATGTTTGTAAATGCTATGAAATATTATAAACTGTTAAGATTTACGGATAAATCGATGAGACGACCATCTGCTAAGCGTTAAAAAATGCCGAAAAACGTCAATTTTGTACAAAAGTTAAAACATTTGCAAAAGGTTAACTGCATCTATAGTATTCATGTCGAACAACGAAGGCTATAATACCGACATTGTTCCACAATTCTTAATTCAAAGAAAATGTACCAAACTTTAAATTTCATAAAAAGATTACTGAACACAGAATAATGAATACTGAACACTAAATTATAATGCTTAAACAAAACGCCGAAACCACCAAACGGCAAAACAAACAAAATTGATAAAAAAATTCTAATCAATGCACATGTATGATATATTATGGAAATGCATCAGCTGTACCAACTGTGAACTATTTTAAAAATGTGTATAAAGCTATTTAATAATGTTATAATTGTTAAAAATTATAAACCTCAAAATTCAGAATAGATAAAATTTAATGATGATACAAATCATGAAGCCTAGAAGACTTCTAGTCTTACAAATTATTTTGTAGTTACATAAATTATTACATACATTAATACACAGTTATAATTGTTCTAATAAGTAAAAACAGTGTAGCAAGTACAATTTAAATACACGATGAGAATGAAACTTGAAAGTGATATAAGTCAAATTTTTAAAAAAATCCGCAATATCGCTAGGGCATATTAGTATACTATAAAAGAGTCATTTAGTCAGTGGAGTAAGTCAAGTTGAGCTTTTGTCCGCGAGAGAGCGCCACCTAAAATTTCGTTAGTTCCCGTGTTTGTGTGAAATATAAAACGCAAACCCTTCTATTTCTCAAAACAACTTAAATGTGACTTACGCCACTTTCATTTTCACCGGCTGACGGCTCACATATTTCCGCACAATTCTTATTTTAATATGATTATTATTTGCAAATTTCAACGAATACAATAAATAGTTATCTACCAATTTAGAAATAGCCCAAAAATGTTGGAATTATGGAAGTTGTCTTTTAAAAAAAATGTATGATATTTTAAGTACAAATATTTAATAAACAAAAAAAATTTAAAAAAAATGCTTTGATGGCTCTCATACTTGTGGTAGAGAAATCCGATATAGAGTACCTATAATAATTAATATAAGAAGATCAGAATATTAGTTCATCAGAATTAAAATAACTTCTGGGTACCCAAAATGAGTTATGGCATTTTGTGTGATAGGGATGCCTGATGGCTGAGTGAAAAGTACAAATGTTTTATTGGTAACACACTTGTACTTGGTTGACATGTGCATGTGTGTAAATATTTGCCTAGTGGCTAATAATCTAGTTTAATTTCTTGTAGCATAGCTTACATGCTTTTCCACATTTCAGACGCATATTATTGGACAATTGCCTATGTATAATTATATTTAAGGGGTAAATACATGTACTCCTTAATAAATGCTAGTGTCAATGTCCAAGGCACAATAAAGTAAGGCCTAAAAAGCACAATAACTATGGTAAACAGTAAAATAAAGATTGTAGAACAATCGTCTATCTAAGGCTATAGTTTACTTACTGTTGAGTTGTGTGCTCTAAGGTTTTCAACCTCTTCGGTAAAATTATCTATTCGCTTTTTAGCACGTTTTTGATAGCCTACTAGTAATACACTAGCCATCCAGTCTCAAGGCATCATGATGGAGCCCTCTGATGTATAAAAATGAGATAAATAACCTGTTTTTTTTTAATCCAGTTTTAATCGAGAAACTTAATTAGGTATCTTACCTCTCATTCAACCATAGGTACTTTAAATAATCGCATAACGTACAGGGCTCGTTATAATTTATATGAATACAGAAAAATAATAAATATTATAAGTTAACTAAACCTGAATTAAGTAGAATTAAAGAATACAGACCAAATTTGATTAGTACATACTAATGAAAAAAAAAATTATCTTTTGTCAAAATACATATAATATATTAATATTAAGTAAGTAGGTAATTAAGTATTGAGAGTTATTTGATTACCAATTATCATTTAAATATTTTATTGCTACACATAAGATATGATAAATAATATTTGTACTTTCGACATCATATGTAAAAACATCACACAACAACATATTTTTAATAAATATAATGACTTTTTGTTCAAGGAGTATACTATAGTATTCATATATGCTTATTCAACAAAAATAGGTAGATATTTACTGAATTTACCAATACTTATTTACTTTGTAAATTAAATTGCATACTCAATTGTAATCTAAATTTACTTTTTTTTAATGTTTTATATTATAATGATAGGTACAATATTTAAATTCTATTATTATAATTGTTTACGTCAGTAGATATCCAATCTTTATATATATAATATTAATTATTAAAGACAGTTTAATATATAGTGTTGTTTTCAATTAGCATCTAATTTATTGTTATTTAATAAATATGTAATTTTTCTGAGAGGCTTAGGACAAAACCTCATTATGATCTCTATATAAAAGCACCGATAATGGGGTTTCTGCGTATTGAGGCGGAAGAAGTCGTAGATCTACAGGAATTATTATTACAGAAAGTACTAAAATCACTTTCAAATAAACGTTTCTATGCGAATCCTTAAAAGGTAGAAGTACAAGTATTGATAAAGACATTGTACCTAATGACAAAAATGGGCTTAAAATTATATTTCGACTTTCGAGTATTAGGAAGTATATGATTAGGGTTGACTGTCTATCCATAATAATTTATTGCCGTTGTGATCATTTTATGTGTTTTTGTCCCACTCTAGAACTACAATCAGTATAATCTCTAGATTTTAAGCCCTAAAACTGCTTCTATATAGGAGAAAAAGTTTATATTTCTTTGGTTTGTCAATAGTACTCTATCTAAAGAATATCATAAGTAGGTACCTACCATACCAATTTGGAACTATTTGAATATTTTTTAAAAAGTTATAGCTCGTCGTAATTTGAAAATAAGAAGATTGAAATATGCACATTATTTGGATGTTTTTCTAGATTTTAAAGTAAGAAGGTGAATTTTGTAAATGTTTGGCCCATTAAGGTAACATTCAGGCACAATTTCTGATTTATAGCATAGATTCAATATATATATATTTAAATATAATTATAAATATGTATATTTAATGTATGGCTTATCATAGTAGGTATTTAAAAACGCGTTTGTTCACAATCTTTTTACACGTTAGTCAAGTACAAAATTAACATTAAATGTGATATAGTAAAAAAAAAGTACAGACGTAGGACGTTAATATTTTTGCTGACAAAAACCGAGATGATTCAAAGCTTGTTTGAAAAACGAGTTATTGAAATAAATCGTATGATAAGGCAACACTGCCTGTTTCGTGTCCTTGCGGTGACCTACTCCGTAAATTCGTTCAATAAACGCCGATCCCGAACTTTATTGATTTCTTCATTTCCACAATACAACACAAGTCTCCGAGCTGAGCTGAGCTTTCGATAGTTTTTAACTGATCTCCTAAGTATTCTTCTTGCTATCGTTTAGTCACACGTAAGTCAATATTATATGTTTATTTTACAGCTGTAAGAAACAATATGTTAGTATATGTCTTACTTATTTTATAATCGACTAATATATATTAATATAAAACGAAATATTTGTATGTTATTAGATTATGTTCTCTAGAAAAATTGTGTATTGGTTTAATTATTATTTAAAGGTTATTTGTATCAGCTAATATGGGGAACACCTTATTAATAAAGGTTTGTCACAAATCTATAGGATTATATTATCAACAATTTCTCATTTAACTGTAGATTGTATTATTTTCCCTAATTCGAGTACTTAACTAATAGTGAATAATTATTTTATACATGTTACATTTATTTGTTGACCTTTAACTAATAATGACATCCACCTTGCCATCTTTTTCAATTTTTCAATGTCACTTCCAACAGAGCTATAAATAAATACAAATACAAATCTGTTTATTTAGACTCGCTGGTAAGTGATAACTATTAAACAAATAATATAAGTATATTAGTTTAATTTGATAAATATTTTCTTATAAACGTGTAAATAGTTGCATAAGTCTTACTCGTTTTCTTTTATAAGCAATATGTAACTAAACCATATTGTGCAACAATAGACATAGCCTATGAGTAATATTACATATAAATTTAAAAGAAAAAAAATGTGTTTAACCATCTAAATTTGTATGAATAATGTGCATAAAAGCTTAATAATACTTTGTCAAAATATTAAAAGATAATGAAATATTAGTCATGAATAGCTCCTCAAAAAAATTAAGAAAACATTAAAAATTGTAAAACCAAAACTACAATAAAAATTTTTTTTAATGTACGAATAATTTTTGTTTAAAAAATCGACTTAAATTCAGGAAGCGGTTAATCCTCTAATCCCCTATGAATACATCTAGAGATTATGAGTCAATTTAATCATTCCCTATTTTTTATAAATGTTTCCTAGCTTACATTTCTATTTTTTCTGGTTTTTCCTATTTTATGCTATTATAATTTTAAACTATTTTACTTTAATCTCCCTATTATCACAACTAATCTATGTGTTTTTATAAATAAAAATGGGCATGTATAAAATAAAGACATTTTTATTAAAATTTTCAATTTTAATTTTGATGTTGAATGATTTGTAATTGAAACCTTTTTTAAACATTAGCGTACTCCATATGCAGCATTTACATTGACTTTTTTTAAAAAAACATCTTGCATTTAAATGTGAAAGTTAGTCTGGCGGAACTGAGTATTTGCTAAACTACAAAAAAAAAAACAAAATTATAATTAAAAAAAATTGCAAAATTTTCCCTTGCAAGATTGAGAGTGGTAAAATGCTGTCATGTGAGTGATGCTGTATCTTTCAAACACACGAGCGCTCGAAGGTTATAACTTCAGTAAAATTTATAGTACAATAAAAACATAGGGTCAACACCCTTTTCAGTTACACATTAAAATCTTATAATGTAGTATAATTTTAGGTTCTTTTAAGGTCGTTAACATTTTCTAGTGTATTTTTATTTTATTTAACAAGCAATAATTAACGTAATATTATCTCATATGTTATAATATAAGTAGTGGCATTCTTTATTATTTCTAGATAATTACACATTTATTAAGTTATCATTTCTTGAACACTAGAGTATGATTATATTAAACAATAAGGCAACCGAGTATAATTTTCATATTATGCAATCCAACAAACATTAAACATTATTCTATATACATTTCTCATTTCTTGATTATTCTCAAATATTTAGAGAGTTACCATGTCTTTTTAATAGACAGATTATATGTATTCTATATTATTTTTCCATTACCATTAATTTGTTGTTACTTTTTTTAATTTTACTATCAGATTAGATTTTGACCTTATTATTAGGAAATTGTTTTGTAGACAGACTCAGTAAATGCCTTGACAGGTCCATAGTATTTGTTGTAAATGTATTTTTAATTAGATTTATTTAATTATTTTTAATCAAAATGATTAGGAAATGTTATACCAAAGGTTACCTTATCGATTACTGTTAGTTACTTCAAAACAGTGTAGTTTAACAAATAGTAGGCTACAATGCAGTTATTGATCAACAGACCTGAGGATTGGTTTAACTGTTTTCAATTGATTTTTTTCTCTTCTATATAATATGTAAGTTGCTTAGTAATAAGATACCTGTTTACTTTAAATTACATGTTATTTATATCTGTTAAAGGTTTTGTGTTCTTCCATTTTGTTATGTTTTTTTTGAGTGAACCATTAGAAGTAACAAATCGTTTTTCGAATTATTTAATCAATTATGAGCACATATTTTTTCCAGTAATTTTGTATTGTATAATTTATTTTGATATGTTTAAGATTTGATAGTTAAGAGTTTTAGAAATATTATATCATTTGAAACCAAAGTTACTTAATAACATACCTATTATACACTTATTGTTTGCTCAAGGTAAATGATAATATTATATTTTCTTAACAATAACATATTTTGAGGGCGTGGCAGATTTAGAAATTCAGTATTATCAGTAATAGACTTTGCCAGACATCTAAAGTTAGATGTTCCAAAGTAAATTACATTTCTTGTTTAAATTAAAGAGAAACTTTCTACTTGTATGTATGAAATATTTTTTAAATGACTGTTAATATAATGTAGTATAAAAAAACTAATTGTTTTTCAATACTTTATTTTATATTTTTAGTAAGATTTTTAAGGTATTGTAATCAAACTTTATTACTATATAAAGTATATATATTAAGTTTTTAAGAAAATAATTTAATTAAAACTATAAAGAATCAATTTTTATTATTTTTTTAATTATAATGTTAATTATATTTTTCTAACACTTACTAGGTTTTCTTCAGGTACTAGTTCTGAAAAATGTTATCAGTTTATCGTAGTTGTTTACTATGCAATTAAATGTGTACTCAGTTTTTTTTACCTTAAGACAATCCTAGCTTATAATTTTCTATCTAGATCACCAGATAATATGCATTTTTGTTACTGACATTCTGTATTTGTAGTTGAAGTGTTTTTTAGGAAATATGTTACTATACATGATTGCAAAGAAAAAATATGTACTATGATTATTGTTTATCATACATATCTAGATAATATTTACCAAGTAGACATTATTCATCAACCTTAAAATATTAAGACAACAATTTAAACAAATTGTTGAAAAATATTAACTTTTTAATTATTGCAATCTAAAAATTATCTTAAAACCTATGTTAAAATTAAGTGTTATATGTGTTTGGTGTAAAAGCCTAAATTTATGCTTTTAGTTTTTTAGTATTTTTCTATAAATATTTAATACTAATTTCAGAAAGGCATCATGACTACTTATTTTGATTATCCAAGCGTTGAGCTCCAGCAGGAGTTAAGCAAAATCGCTAAAGCCATGGTAGCTGAAGGTAGAGGACTTTTAGCTGCTGATGAATCCACTGCAACCATGGGAAAGCGTCTTCAAGACATTGGAGTTGAAAACACTGAAGATAATCGCCGTGCCTACAGACAGTTGCTTTTCTCTGCTGATGAGCCTTTGAATGATCGTATTTCTGGTGTGATATTGTTCCATGAAACTTTGTATCAAAAAAATGATGAGGGCGTTCCATTTGTTGAGATCTTAAAGAATCGTTGCATTATTCCTGGAATTAAGGTTGACCAAGGTGTTGTAAACTTGTTTGGTTCTGAGGGAGAAACTACTACTCAAGGTAAATCGTATGACCTTAAATATAAATTACCATATTATATAATTGTTACTAGATGTGATTTAAAATTTTAAAAATGAAATAGGATTGGACAATTTGGCTCAACGCTGTGCTCAATACAAGAAAGATGGTTGCCACTTTGCAAAATGGCGTTCTGTATTGAAAATTGGTAAAAACACCCCATCTCCCCAAGCTATAGCGGAAAATGCAAATGTATTGGCTAGATACGCTTCCATTTGTCAAGCTAATCGTATTGTTCCAATTGTGGAACCTGAGGTAATACAATTTATTTGTGTTCATTAATAAACGTTTATGCAATTATGTATTTATATTGTATTTAATTAATTCTTAGGTATTGTGTGATGGTGATCATGATTTGGACCGTGCTCAAAAAGTCACTGAAACTGTGCTTGCCGCTGTGTACAAGGCTTTGAACGACCACCATGTGTACTTGGAGGGTACAATTTTAAAACCTAACATGGTTACTCCTGGACAGTCTGCCCCTACAAAAGCAACTCCTCAAGAGATTGCTAAAGCCACAGTAACTACACTTCAACGCACTGTACCACCAGCAGTTCCTGGTAAATTTATTAATTAAATTTTATCAAGTAATAAGTGTTTACTTATAATTTTAATATTAATTTGCCATTCAATATTTAGGAATCATGTTTTTGTCCGGTGGTCAAACTGAAGAGGAAGCTTCTGTGAACTTAGATGCTATTAACAAGTACAATGGCATAAAACCATGGGCTTTGAGCTTCAGTTATGGTCGTGCTTTGCAAGCTTCCGTATTGAAAGCATGGCAAGGAAAGAAAGAAAACATTAAAACTGCACAAGACGAGCTCCTTAAGAGAGCATTGGTAAGAATTATTAAATCTAATTGGGCGTTATAATATTAGTTTAAAATATAAATTATAGTGCCTAATAATAATATTGTGTACAGGCAAACAAGTTGGCAGCATTAGGCAAGTATGAACCAGGCTCTGTACAATCGGCTGCTGCTTCCCAAGGATTGTTCGTTAAGGATCATGCTTATTAATCAATCTTAAAAATTAAACTTCGTAAATTATGTAATAAATACATTTCGCAAATTTAAAATCAGTTACCAAAATGCAAACATTTATTATTGTAACAGCTTATATCCCATATGTATGTTTGTTTTTGTTATAGAAATATTGAAATAATAAAAATCTTAAAATATTATCGAGTATTTTTTTTTTTATAGAACTTATATTTGTTAAATTATTATACTCAAACATTTACTTAGTATATGTTTATAAATGTTTTGTCTTTTAGTCGCTTGTGAACATGATGTTACTTCTTTATAGCATAGTCAGTAGATAAATAATTTATGTGTGATGTGTTAAGTAAAAGTATAATACTGAATATATATTGTATGTTTTATCTTAAAAAACAAAAAGTTACTAAATAGTATAAAACAGAAAATTGTTGTTTTAAAAAATTTAGTATAGCATAAAACTTTCTAATGTGTATCAAATGTTTTATTATAAATTAAATAAATAGTAATAGATAATTAATGCATTTTACTACATTCAATTGATAATAACTTAAATGTATTATTTATATTATAGAATGTATTCATTAATTTATCTAGACAATAAATAATTATTATATTGAAATATTATTACAGTAAGCTTGATATTACACTTTTTTAAATAGGATCATAATTCATTAGGTCATTGATTAAATGTTGTTGACAATAATAATACTTAATAAATGTATTTGAATATAGCTGTGACAACTGATAAACAAAGATCCTATGCTTAATAAGTTTTGTTAATAAAAACATTTAAATAGTATAAAGTGTGCTGAGATATATGTGCACGTGGACTTTTAGGATTATAATATTTATATTAGGGTGGGCCATACTTTTTTTCAGAAAATTAAAGAACCCTACAAAATTGCTTCAAATTGTGAAGAAATTATTCCTCCTTTCTAATAATAAATATGGTTCTCTGAATTCTAGTTGTGTTTATATACGAGTTCATTTAAAGCGAGTATAAATATGGCGAATTAATCTTGAAAACAATTAAATATCTTAAAAAATAATAATACTTGACCTTTTTTTTCAAAGATATATCTACTTATTTTAAAAATATGTACAACGTATCTAGTATATAACTTGACATGACGGATTGAAGTGGGTTTTCAGTGGAAAGGTAATTGCTCAATTGCTGTATGAATAGATTAAGATTCTTTTTTTATGTTTTATTCTTTATCAGTTTTCAATGAGTAAGTAATATTGGACGTGGAAAAAAGATAATATAGGATCTGCATTGTCGGAAATTATATCTTTATCGACGGCAAAGTCACATACTAGTGTGAATTTGAAGGTTGATTGAAAATTTGAAATTTAACAGAGGAGCTGTAACTGGCAACTGCACCCTGGGGATTCTTACTTTTATTTCTACTGGGAGGAAAGAGTGAAACCTATGCGCACGTAGAACTTTTTACTTTGCTAAAAATATGAGGAGAACGGGAGAGTACTTTTGGAGGGATGGCATTACCTGTAACATTGGTCAATTATCGGTGTACCAGAGGATTTGCTGATTGGGAATAATTTATAATAGTTAATAGATATTGAATAGGATAATGATAGGATTGAAGCAGTGTCTCTATATAGGTTGGCACTTGGCAGGTACATTATACATGGTCGAATATACAGTAGTGTGTAGTGGTTGGCTACACCGCAATTGAATTTGTTGACAAAACTTGGATAATGTGATATTATGATCTAAATAAATGTAAATTATAATTTTTATCAGACACGGTAGCGACTAGCGGCAGGTCTACAGAGTACACTTACACCTTGTGCTTTTAAAATTTTAACAGAAACTTTAAACTAAAGTCACATTTGAGATAAGATTCATTTGGCGGGTACCACATGCTAATGATAATCTCTTACTACACAATATTTTCATCTTGCAAGCACTAGACCCTCATCATGGGTGTACCAGCATTTTTCAGATGGCTTACCAGAAAGTATCCTTCAGTAATTGTCAACTGCATCGAACAGAAAGTATACATATTTACTCAAAAACTACTCGTTGTTTTTATTCAAAGTACCCATGTTCTTTAAACTAGAATAATTTATTTACACTTTATAGTCAACCGACATTAATGGAGAACAAATTCCTATTGATGCCTCCGAACCCAATCCTAATGGGGTTGAATTTGACAATTTATACTTGGATATGAATGGAATAATACATCCTTGTACCCATCCAGAAAACAAGTAATACTACCCGTTTTCAATGATTACAGTACTAAATTAAATTGTATCTACTTATAGGCCTGCTCCAAAAAATGAAGACGAGATGATGGTGGCCATCTTTGAATGTATTGACCGTCTATTCAGAATTGTTAGGCCACGGAAACTGTTGTACATGGCTATAGATGGCGTGGTATGATAAATACTAATTACTTATAAATAAAAAAAAAAACAGTTCAGTTGGGTTGGGGAATAGCGAGGACAGAGCATGTTGGGTGTGGGAGGTTATATTAATTATTACAACTACAAGTGATAAAATCGCTTTCAAATAAACACTCCAATGCGAACCTGTAATGGTAGAATTACAATGTTTTATTTAGGCACCGAGAGCTAAAATGAACCAACAGAGGTCTAGACGTTTTAGAGCGTCTAAAGAAACTACAGAAAAAGCTGAAGAAGTTGCTCGGGTCAGACAAAATTTACTAGAAGCTGGTGCTATACTACCACCCGAAAAACCGAAGGGAGAACACTTTGACAGCAATTGCATCACTCCCGTAATTTAGTTAAATATACATGAGGATTTTTATCAACGATAATCATTCACTGTTTTAAATCTGATTTCAGGGAACACCTTTTATGGACAACTTATCGGCTTGCTTGCATTATTATATTCACGATCGTTTAAATAATGATCCTGGATGGAAAGGTATTAAAGTCATACTGTCTGATGCTAATGTTCCTGGGGAAGGAGAGCATAAAATTATGGACTACATAAGAAAACAAAGAGGTATTTTTAATTTTTTTAAACATGATTTGTAGATTTTTTTATTTTTTTTTGTTTGATATCTAATGTCATTTTTAGCACAACCCAATCATGATCCAAATACACAACATGTACTTTGTGGGGCCGACGCTGATCTTATTATGTTGGGACTGGCAACACATGAGCCTAATTTTACCATCATTCGAGAAGAATTCAAACCCAATCAACCGAGACCATGTGATATGTGTGGTCAAATGGGTAAATAAACTGTAAAAATGTACAATTTACAGTATTAATATTGATTTAATTGTCTAGGACATGAAATGAAAGATTGTCAAGGTTTAGAACAAGAAGTATTTAACGATGGATCGTCTGGCATAGCTTTTTCTAGTGATGTACAATTTATATTTGTGCGTTTAAACGTTTTACGTGAATATTTAGAAAGGGAATTGGAAATGCCGAATTTGCCATTTGAATATGAATTTGAAAGAGCCATTGATGATTGGGTTTTTATGTGTTTTTTTGTGGGTAATGACTTTTTGCCACACTTACCCTCATTAGAAATACGGGAAAATGCTATCGACAGGCTAGTAGCTCTCTACAAAAAAACAGTGTACAAAACTGGGGTAACTTTTAATATTTACTGTTGGATGAGATAAAATTGTTATAAATTAACTCAGTAATTTTTTGTATTTTTATTTTAGGGATTTTTAACTCTTAATGGTGATGTGAATTTAGACAGAGTACAACTAATTATGTCCGATCTAGGCTTAGCTGAAGATGAAATATTTAAAAAAAGGCAGCAAACTGAAAAAATGTTTGCTGACAGGAATAAATTTAGGAAAAGACGTGAAAAACGAGAGAAATTACAACGTTCAAATAGTGCACCCAATTTTGTTTTAGGAGGTCAATACCAACCCATGGTAAATAATAAAAATAATTAAATATTTGAAGTAAAGAATTTTTAGCAGTGTTAATTGTTGTTTTATAGGCACCAAATGCAGCGTTTTCAGTTGCTAACCCAAAACAAACAATTGATGACATGAGACGTCAAAGTATGGTGAGTAATGAATATTGAGGTTAATTAAATTTTTATTTTACATTGGTTTTTTTCTTTAGGGAAATGATAATAATCAAGGACAAAAACGTAAAAGGGAAGATGATGATTCATCAGAAGAAGAACAGACACCCGATGAAGTACGCCTGTGGGAAGATGGTTTTAAAGAGCGTTATTATGAATCAAAATTTGATGTCGATAGAACAAACAGTGAATTTCGGCATTCAGTTGCTTTGGAATATGTACGTGGTTTATGTTGGGTTCTTCAATACTATTATCAAGGTTGTCCTTCATGGAAGTGGTATTTCCCTTACCATTATGCACCTTTTGCTTCAGATTTTGCTAATATAGCATCGGTATTAACAAAATTTGAAAAGGGAACCAAACCAGTATGTATATTGAGAATTATGATGTATTTTGCATATAATTATCTTTAGTATTTTAGTAATGCTAATTAACATTTTGTTTTAGTTCCGACCATTAGAACAACTTATGAGTGTTTTTCCAGCAGCCAGTAGCAAACATGTACCCCAACCTTGGGCTATATTAATGAGTGACCCGGTAAAATTCATAATTTGTAAAAATGGAAATATTGTATTCTTAAATTGATTATTTTACAGGAATCGCCTATTATTGATTTTTATCCAGTCGACTTTAAAATTGACCTAAATGGAAAGAAATTTGCTTGGCAAGGTGTAGCACTACTGCCATTTGTTGACGAAGGACGACTTCATAAAGCTCTTGAACCTTATTATGACATGTTGACACCCGAAGAAAGTATGTTTATGAAGAAGTCAAGTATTTTTTTCCCCACTATTTAAAGATTTTATTTTAGTACGTCGTAATGTCAGAGGTAGTGATCGCTTATACATTCAAGAAGACAATTCAAAGTATGGACTGCTCAAAGATCTTCATTTAAATAAAGATAATTTTAACAATTTTACTTCAGTACTAATTGATGGGATGGAAGGAAAAGTTAAGACCGCTGATGACTGTGTTAAAATTGGAGGGTAAAATTTTGTATAATTTAGTAATAAACAATAATTTCTTACAATGTTCTATGGTTATGATTATTATAAATGAACAATTTTAACTGTTTTAGATCTCTTCCATCACCTGTTATGGGATTGAATGTCATAAGATCGAATAAAGTTATATGGTATGTGTTGTTTATTTTTCTCACAAGTATGAATCATATACTACATATTCTAATATAACTTATTTATTTAGTGTGAAATTTGAAGATCCGATATATGGTGACGATTATGTTTATGAAGCAAATAGACTGAAAGGAGTTGTGTAAGTTGTACAGATATGAATATAAATAATAATATATACCCCATATATTTGTAAGACTACTGTTTATAAATAACTTCAATACATTTGATATTATAATTTTACAAACAATATGTATTGGAAATTAAGTCATAGGGTAACTTGTATAATAAATATGAAACCATTTAATTTCAAAGATTGTACATTCTATTGTTTCTACATTTATTAGTTGATCATTAATCATGATAAATAAGTAGCTGCTAATTTTTTAGGTTTTTTTTTTAATACCTTTATAATTTATGGATTGAATAATATTTTAACATTTAAAATAATTCTAATATTATTTCAATTATTTTCATTGAGTATGCTATTATTATGGTGAATACGTATGATGTACATTTTTTTAGTGTGATATAAAATTTGGTAATAACACAATACTTAAATAATTCAATATGCAAATACAAATAAAAAAAATAAAGATAAAATGAACTCTAAATAATGTACACTTTAATAGAGAACCACCAAGAGTATTAAAACCTAAACACATGTCTGAAGAAAATTCAAGGTCTTGGAGACCTAGGATTGGTATGACTCAACCGTATCAGAGAGGCCGACTTGATGTTTCAGGGCATAGAACATTATCGTATGTATTCTTATTTATAGATAAAATTGTGTAATGAAAACATAAAAACACTAGTTTTTAATTTTACAGACATTATGTTCCAAGGAATCCTGGTCAATATAACGCTGTTCCTCCTCCACAAAGTATTTTTATTACATGATAATTTTTAGTAATAATACAATTTTTAACTAAAAAAAAAAAAAATGTTTGTCAATAGGATTTAGTAGCAGAAACAACTCTTGGCAACCAGACTATAACAATTCTAGACGTCCGAACCATAATCAAGGTTACAATTCCCAACAGTTGAATCAAAATAATTATTCACAAAACAACTTTAATTCTAATAACTATCGTAACAACACAAATTTCCCAAACAAAAAATATAATCATAGTTCAACCAGTAGTGGTTTAAATCCAAATTATAGTACTCACTATTCACCTGTGCAACAGCAAGCTAGCAATAACCGGACTGGATATTTTACAGGCGGCTATCAAGCTAACAACTCTATGTAAGTCAATCATAATTCAATTTATCCTTTTTCTTTTATTATGGTATTATAATATTTTTAAAGGCCAAGACAAGCTTTTAATGGAAATACAGAACCAACAAGGGATAGACCAAATATTCGTTATCAGCCATATGATCCTGTCACTCAAAGAGTAAGTGTTTTGCAATTTGTAATTTTTTGCTACTCATAAAATTATCAATTTTATTCTAACATTTTATGTGTTGTTCTCAATAATAGACAAAATTTTGAAAACTACAAATTATTTTATAGGGTGGTCCAAGGCCTCCAGGTTACAATCAACACCGTAACTACTGACCAAATGAAAACACGTTTTTAACTATACAATGAATAGCAAACAAATTCCACCCATTTTTAATTAGTACTTTTGTCAACAATATTATTGTTTTACTTAAAAAAAAATTTAACATTTTACAATTTTATTATTATTTATTTTCAAGACAAAATTATAGGTAAAATTAACTTTTAAATATTATTGTGTTCTTTCAATAATTGTATTATTTACATACATTTATGTAGGGTTTTTTTTATGTGATGTTAAATTACCAGTGTCTTGTGAGAATTTACTTGTTGTAAAATGAAATTATTGATACATGAAAATGGAGTAAATATTGTTACATTTAATGAAAAAAATTGTAAAACAATTTGTAAAAACATCTGGAAAATGCTTTATGATAAATATATATATCTTCTGTACTTAAATGTTGTAAGTTTTTATAATTATTTCAACTTATACCTATTAGTTGAGCCATGTAGTATAATTATTGTTAAATACTAATTTACTCTGAATTTCAACTCCTATCAATTTTTTCGCTTTTTATTAGGTAACTGTAGTTTAAAAAATGTTATCATTTATTTAAGATACATTGAGGTTATGCATTCTAATTATTTATTAATAATTAACATTAAATAAGATATGAAGGGCACAGGGAAAAAACGGTAGTAGTCACATTATGAAAATTTTAGGGTATAGCAAAAACAAAGTTTGTGAATTATTCCTCTCCCTCTTACATAAGAACAAAAAAAATCACATTAAATGCTATTCTAATAAAAAATGTATTTATTTAAACAATCTATTGACATAAATAAAAAAAATTAATGGCATAAATTGAAAAAAAAATTTCATAATGTGACTACTACCGTTTTTTCCCTGTGCCCTTCATATATAATAATTATATAATTTTTTTATTTTAATGTGAAAATAATAAGTTTTTAAAGTCTATTATAATTATAAAAATCGGGGTTGACTAAAGTTATTTACAAATGTTGCCATTCAAATAAATTTGTTTGGTATTAGATATAATAGTTAATACTCTACTTATATATCAGATATAATCTTAATAAAATCAACTCGTACAATTTTATAACCCATAGTTAATAATTGCTAAATTTATTAGGTTTTTTTCAACTAGGTGTATATAATGAGTTCAAATTTCAATGTTTATATAATACTAATACCTACATTTTTGCTTTTGAGGATCTTAGAATAATATACAACTAAAATCAATACCCAGATTTGAATTATAAATAAAATATAAATATTTATTATGAAAAGTTATTTATAAAAATATGTGCAACAACAAATAAAATAATTAAAAAATATTAGAGATCTGTCCACCATCCCACAACACCTAGCCCGGGTTCTCTGACAGTACCAATAATAGAATAGGGTGATTTTGACTTGGATGTTACTATTTCACCTGCGTCTAGGAGGCCGCTATCTACTCCTGGATGAGTATCTATAAACTGTTCAGATACAACACGGAATCTTACAGTCTCACCGATATCCATATGCAGGTCGACCGTCTCGCCACAGTTGTCATACTCCCATACCCATACCTTATCTTTAACATCAAATCGACTAGGATTCTGCATGTTGGCCGCAGGAACAAAAATATCATCAAAGAAGCCAGTCGATAATATAGCTCCTTCAGCTCCAGAACTCTTTACTTTTCCAATTAGTATTTCTTCTATGAACGGTCTGAAATAGAAAAACTATAAGTCACAAAAATAAATTTCCATTAGTTTATCAATTATCTTAAAATATGACTTACCGAAAAACAACAAACCTGAACCGTACTTTAGAGAAATAAGCCCCTTCGCCGGGGTAAATAATCGGATCACCGATTTCCAATATATCAAATAACGATAAACACAAACCAACATTCATAACGACTTTATTAGCGAGCATTGAATTGAGGTAGATTATGGTTCTCGATACCTGATCATCTTCCAGATGAGATGGTTGTACCTTGACAACTTCTTCAAATTCACTAACGATAAACATTTCGCAATAACATAAGAACAGAGTACACAGACCTTAAATGTATAGCCTATATGAGAGGGCAACGTGAATTGTGTCCGGCAGCCGGACGTTCTCTTTAGTCTTTATAAAAAATTGTTTTGTGACTAGAGAGTAACGATATTATCATATTATTTTTAAGCTTTGCCGCCTTAAAGATTTATCATTATTCATTATCACCATTATCACAAATACCATGCATTTAGTGATTATAATATTATCAACCACGTGAAGTACATTTTGTTTTCTTTTTCTAAATTCTGTCATCTGACTATCTGTAGGCTTTGAATTCTTAAATCTTAGTTGAGTTCTTACATTTTTATTTCACAAATCAATTATCAAACGTTGATTACCGTTCTCGAGAATTGTGATTTATTTTTTTATTAAAATCTAAAATCCATAATGCCTTTAACTTATAACAAGAAGAAGTTGCGTCGCAAGATGAAAAATAAGATGCCGAAGGTTTCTTGGTAAAGCATAATATATTTAATATATACCTACTCTCAAAATAAAGCAAATTAACTTTTAGTTGCATGGTTATAATTTCTATAATATCAAATGCCATTTATTAGTGGTTAATCGGCATACAAATTTTGTTGCCCCTTCCCTAATTTTATTTGCCTGATTACCGTATGACAATTTCTCATATAATTAAATTAAATTTTTCTCTTTTTTACTTTTAATATACTGTGTATATTAAAACATTACATATTACATTTTACACTGTATCTGGAATCAAAGCGATGACAGAATTTATAACAGTATTTTTATATTAAGAATTTATCAAAACACATATTAAAGTGATCATTAATCTGTTGTTTGGTGAGGGCAGATAAAGTTTGTATCATAATTATGGAAATCGTACTCGATACTTCAAGTATCAAGTTTGACGCTTTATCCAATTGGTTTACACACCATGATTTAATAAACATTTCTTATTATACTATATATTAAAAAAAAATAATAACAATTTCATCCTGTCAATTGCACTTATCTAACCATATTATTTTACAGTCCACTTATAAAAGACCTTTGGGACGATAACGCTTCTGTTGGAAAGAATTTGAAAAATTTTGGATTAACCAATGATCCTAGTAAATCTATATTAACTGGTTTTGTTAACACTCAACCTCAAGTACTAGGAGAAAGCCCTGAAGCTGTACCCGCCAGGAAAAGAGTAAGTTAATTTATTTTCTTTTTCTCAGAAATGCAATAGCATTTGTTTTATAAAAAAAAAAATTATAAATTAAATAATATTACCTATGTATTAATTTCTGCAGCGACAATGTGAAAGTAAACCGCCAACTGAAGTAGTTAAGAAATTAGAAGCTGAAGCCAACAAACCAAGACGACTTAAACAGATCACATTACCAACCGGCACAATTAAGTTTTTAACTTATCTAATGGAAAAATATGGTGATAACTATAAAGTAAGTATTAACTATTAACATTAAATTCCTACATTCGTTTTATTTCAAGCAAACCATGAACCAATAATGGTTACTAAAAAACCAAGGCCCGATTTCACCAATGTTTTAATTGTGGTTTATTGTTAATCGTCAATTTTGACTGGTTGGCAGGGTGATCAGGGATAAACTATGATTAAAATTTTTAAGAAATTAGGCCTAAGTTTGATATTACAATTACAGTTTAGACTATGCAATAGAAATGAATAATGTTTTTTAAAATAAATGTATTAGAGAACAGAACAGTGTTAACAAACATTTAAAAAATTTGGATACATCTTAAGTAGGGCTAATTCTTTCTATAGTCTAAGTTTGCTGATGAATTCGCTCTCTAGGACTAGTTGTCACCTGACAAGGTATAGCAGCTCTTTTTTATTAGGTAGTTTCCTGCTCGGCAATCAAAACCAGTGAGCGCAAACAAGCTATAAATTTACTATCTTCTCATATCCGTTTGTAGGTTTTATTAATGCCAAGGAAATTGTCTTGATTTATTTTATTACTGAATTATTTTAGATCTGGAGTTTTTACAAATATTTCTTTACAGAGTCTAGACTATAATAAAATTTAAATGCATCATACTTGTGTTACAAATGTTTGTTTATTATCTTTATAATATAACATATTTATTTTTATATATAATATTATATATATATATATATATATATCTTAAACTAACTCAAAATATTGTAAACATTAATATATTCATTATAATCACTATGAAGAATAACTTATGTTAAAACAATATAAATAAATATTCTCGGTCACGGCATTTTATTTTAATAAAATGCTGTGATAAGCTAACACATCTATGTATTAATTTAACTTTATTGTTAATTATTCAGTTGTAGGTACTTATAAATAAAACTGTACTAAGTAATTATTATTTTTTTAATTTAATACAATGTTATACTTTTCAGGCAATGACAAAGGACCCTAAAAATGTATATCAGATGACATGGAAACAAATACGTGCTAAAATAGTGACATTTAAAAGCATTAAAGAATATGAACACCTAATGCCAAGACCAATTGCAGAGTCTGAATAATATATATTTTTTTAAAGCTATACAACAAATTTAATTGAAAATTGTATAATTAAATGACAAATTGTGTGAACTATTTTTAGTTTTTTTTTTAAATATATAGAAATATATATTTAATTGTTTAATCATTGTTGAAAAAAAATTAACATTTAAATACCTGGTTATAAATTAGAGCTTAATTTTAAAATTACTTTGCGAACTTCTAATACCGTCGGGTGTATTTCAATAGAGCCGGGTTTTGTTTGAGTTTCTAGAACTTTAACTTGGTGTGATCTAGATGGAATGCTTTTCAAATCGAGCACATTTGAGATCTGTTCTGCTCCAAGAGCTCCCGGCACATCCTATCAGACATATTGAACATATTTATTAAAAAATAAAACGTATAATGTTAAATAATAATTGAACACCTAAAAAGTGTTTAGTGTACTACAACTAAGAGCTATATTTAAAAAATATTTCAAGCTAAATAATTCCAGCTAAGGAGGCAGAGGTTTCTTAACACATTTACTTTTCGGGATAGGTTGTCAGTTTCTTACCAGAGAGAGGGGTGGCGGCTTCTTTTCATTGGACAGTTTTTACACTCCGTAAGTAAACCTTACTTACCTGAGACCGAGTGAATAAGTGATAGTGTGCACTACACAGCTATTTCCAACTTTGTTTAATTAATGTGTGGAATGTATTAGATATTGGCTTTGCTAATAAAACCAGTTTATTTGAAAGTGCAATCGCAAATGTTCGCGTGAAAGCTGTGTCCGACAATCATTAAAATTTTATTCCAGAATGAAAATTTATTTAGTCATATAATCGTATCAACTAGTACTTTGGTATTTTCGCTGTATAAATAATAGTAACATACATATCATTAAAAACTAAAAGCTACACTTGTTTTTATTTATATTGTCAACGATGTGAGATGTTAGTTATTAACTTTCCGGTGGACGCCCTTTTTTTGTTATCATAAGAAAAAAACAATGGGATAACAGCACTCAATGCTGCCACGCGCCCGCCGAAGGGTTAAGCTCTTTAAATTTATGAATTTAATTTAACTAAATTTAAAATTTAATACTTTGAAATAAATAAAAATAACATCAGTAAAGTAAAAACAAAAAATTAGATGTCCCATAAATAGATAACTATGACTTAGAAGGTTATATTATATTTCAGTAAAGTTGATGAGACATAAAAATGCAACTCACAACTGTACTACATTTCAATTAATTCTACTTATTTAAACGTAAAAGCTCGATTAACTATACATTACCTGTTTATTAGCTAAAACTAAAATTGGAACTGAAGCTAGCCTGGCATCTCCTAACAATGATTTGATCTCGCTGACAACAACTGACAAATTTGAATTGTTGCTTGCATCAACAACAAACACTAAAATGTCGGTATCCTGGAAGAACTTGGCCCAATACCTCCTTACGCTTTCTTTACCGCCAACTAAGTAACAATTAAATATTTAAGATTTAGTTATAAATATACATATAAGTATCATAATAGTAATACTGTTTAGTTACATATTATGTAGGTTTGATTACACAAATATTCTTTTTCATAAAAATGTATACAGATGACAGATGATTTGATTAAAATTAATTTAAAAAAGTAATGCATATTTATTTTGTGGTTACCTTTAAAAAGGAATGAAATAACTACATTTTGACTTAATTGCTACAATAAGCAAATGGCATTACTATGATAAGTAGTTTTAATTACTTTACTTCTCAAAAACTAGGAAAATTCACAGACTTTTATTATAGCGTTCCTTATGTTATTTTTTCCTCTAGTTTTTGTACTCATGGGCATGTCTTGTCAATAATTAAATAATAACAACTATTTACCCAATTTTCCCATCAACATTGTATACAAACAAATGTTTCTAAAATACCATTTTATATTTTTAATCTTTATGAACTGTAGTAAGAATCTATTGTTACATATACATGACCTACCAAATTAATAAGTTTTTATTTATCTTATTAACACTATTAGCTTCTAAGTGAAATGTATGGATGCAATATTCTATTATATGTTTAGTATTCTGTTAGCATTACACTTTCACAGGGTCCAAACTTTAAAAAACTGAAATCTGTCACTGATATTATTATGGTTACTTTCATTAGTTTAACATATATTTTTCTCCATGTAGTAATGTTAATGTTTTAATATGACAAAGTTAATTAGGTACTTTAAGTAGTAATTCACTAATTTATTAAATTTAAAATACAGATATCTAGCAACTAGAATCTTGTTATATATAACTATAACTTTTTAACTAAGGTCTATGACAGATTTTTCAATAAACGATAACATACTTTCCCAAATGTTCACTGAAGGAGAAGTTCCATTTGACAAAGATGTAACATTAAATCCCTCTGTAGGTTTGTAAACAGCGCTTTGAGGAACACTTTTTTGTCCAATTTCTCTAACAATTTGAGAGACGAGTGTCGATTTTCCTGAACGTTCCAGACCAAGAACCAAAACTTTCTTTTCCAACGTTTCCTCCAACTAGTTTACAACATATAAAAAAATAACAATTACTACAATAACTTTCAAGTTATGCTTGAGATGAAATAAACTATATTTGCTGTTTACCTTGGAGACGTCTTCAAAGCCTTCGTCATCAGCGCTGCATTGGCGACGTTTCCACATTTGGTACGCCGTATAAGTACAGACGCCCAGTACAACACCGGAGGACACTGCAACGAGAGCTTTTAATTTGTAGCCCATCGTATTAACTATTTGAAACTAGCTGACGGTTAATACAAATCTAAAACAAAACGTCATAGCTTTGATACAACATAATTAATTTTTTTTTTCAGTACATTATCAACAATCAACATTCATGATAAAAACGATAAGAATGCATTACAGAAAAAACATGGAAGAGCATATTATCACATGGAGTAATTTATAATCATGATTATTATATTGGTGTTGACATATCCTATACATTATCATTTTAAGGGACTTTTTTTTAAACGTCCTTGTTTCCCAATATAATTTTAATATTTAAGCAAAAATGAATTTAATCTAATTTTTATGTAATGTTTGTCAATCATAAATCGTTTGTGCCTTATAACATAAAGAAATACGCAATAGCCTGGTTATTCTTCTTTTAGAGTTTAGTACCTACGTTAGTCTAAGCAATAAGCCTTAGGCCATACGTAGCCCTGTAAAAACATTTCTAGGTCCATGATCCCATAGGATGAACTAAGTACGTGTTTTTTTTGTGATCACATTTTTTCAACAATATTAGTTACCTATATATTATACGGTTATTTATGTTTTAAAATTATTTATTATACAAAACGAATGGCAAATTATTATAAAACTATTCACGACATAGATTGTCCTATTATGAATTTTTAATAAACAAATTTAGTAAGCAATATTAAGACATTTTTCTATAAAGATACCTAAATTACACACACCAGAAATTAATGCGTTTTAGTTTTTGCGCCTGTTATTATCTTTTGAAACATAGTACAGATAATGACTTACCGCTTGGTATTAGCTTAGCCTCCCACCCCCCAACAATAAGTCTGTAACCCTAAAAAATAATTAGTATTATTATAGCTTTTTTCAGTTGTTTTAGTTGTTTCTCTCTATTATTGTTGTTACGTTTAGGCATTTTTCATAAAAAAATAATTTTATGTAAAACCTATAAGGCATACTTATTAGTATATTAATGAGGTTAATTTTTACTAATTTTTTTATTAGACTATCACAATCTTCATTAAAAACGTTTTTCTCAAAAGAGCCTCTCGCTTTCCTAATACAGCTTTACCAAAAATTAAGATGGCAAATATTTGTTTAGCTTCTTGTAAAAAAGAACTTAAACTGGTTCTCGTCGATGAGTTTTTTTCGAGAAATAAAATTAATGTCATCAATTGAGGTTCAAAAAATATTAACCCTTCATTGCCCAATTTTTTTTTTTTTATAATTTTCAATTTTTTTCATATTGATTAAATTATCAGGGATTTAGGAAAAATAAGTAAAAAAAGTATATAACTAAAAATGGGTTAAAATGAAATATGTTTTTAATTTTTTTAACTTAGTGCAATCTAAAAAAACTATCATGAAATTAAAAAAAACTCGTTGAGAATGCATAATACTAATTACACTGCTAATAATAAATCATCATCATTTTTATATGATAAATATGTTCAGACTTCAGAGATGTGTACAGAATTATATACCTTTGTTTTTGCATGAAAAGCGGCATTTGTGGCGTCCTCTAAAATTATCTGGCTATTGGTTTATTTATTAGGAAGCAAAACTATCACAAAGACCTCAGGCCCCCCTAAAATTGACCTTAATTTCGCTAATGTAACCTACAGTTATCAGAAAAAGTTAATAGTTATGAAAAAACATGAGGTAAAACTTGTAGAATTTTTAAAAGAATATAAAGACAAATTACGCAAAAATGTAGTCATTTTAATTACTAAAAAACTAGGTATGCTGGGTAGTCTTCGGTATGTATACTGTTAAGTGTTAACTGATCTCCACAATCCTCGCCTGGCCACTATGCCACATATTATTACGGTGACCGGAAAAGTGTAATCTCGAAAAACCAGTTTTGACTTGACACTACGCAAAACTTGTTTATTGATATTATACAAAACATTCCGATGGGAAATAATAGTTTAATGACTACAGCGGTGAACATTATGATGATGTCGGTAACAACATTTTAATATAAATACTACATACTTACTTGTATGGGTATAATAATTGCCCTTTGGTCATTACACGTTTATTTTTATATCATGGTTTTGTGTTTATGAAGAACTTCACTTATCATAATCTATACATCGTCCGTTAAAACAGCTATTAATTAAAATTCTCGATTCTGTTTTGTATGTATATATATATATATATATATATATTAAAATAAAACCTAATATTATTTGATGTTATCGCGAAATGAGTGTAGAGTACAAGAAACGACAACATTTTTAGAGGATATGCGACCCGTTAACGTTGCAACAGTGTCGACGCGATGCGTTCAATATTTAAATATACAATTTACAAATAGTGCGTTTATAAAATTTGGTTCAACTAACGTTTCTTTAGTTTTTTTATATTTTACAATTTAATTGTTTTAGCAATGAGACCTTACGGGCATCCGATTCTTCCAAGTCTATTCTGCATTTACGGTGTGTGATATCAGCTTAAAAAAAACGATATATCATTTGTTGCTATCATTATTATTATTTTTACTATGTAAGTAATTACATTTTTAGCCGTTCTAACTGGAAGCATTTTGAGCGCACAGAATACACCGGATAGACGGCTTAGTTGCTCGATGTTGGTAACTACTTTTAAATATTTATTTTATAGTAATATTACTGTGATAATTGTCAATTTATAACTGATTATTATGACCTAAGTATTGCTGTTAAACATTTCTATAAGTTCGCTTTGGACGGGATAGTCCCACTTTAGAGCTAAGCTAAGTGTCCCGCTGTCGGCTGTCCCCAAAGAACGCAAAAATGTCCCGCTTTAAAAAAAACGGCCATCTGTATTGCATTCTATTAAAAAAGAACAAGTATTTAATTATCATAACAGAAAACAACACTGAAATCGTTGGGTGGAAGAATTTACACACTTCCATGCTAAAAATATCTCTCATGCGAATTTTTGTATAATTTTAGAGTACATTTTATGTTTGTCAGGCAGTGACGCCTTGATACCTTTTAACAATTTTTTCTATAGAGTTTTGGACTTGCAAATATACATATTTTTAATGTTTGGGAAGTTTCTGATTTATAGTAACAATTAATAATTAATTCTCTTGCTGTTAGGACTACCAAACTATGATTTTGTGTACTGTGTTTGAAGTCCGGGCGTCTTTAACTTTTGTGCAATCCCACTCAAGGTCCCAATCTAAAATTCTCATACCTACCATCATTTTCGAAGAGTCAAATTACTGTGTCAAACCCGGCTTATACATTTTTATACTTAAACATCCGTGCACGTAAATGTCACAATTTTTGTCTACTTTCTTGTGTGCTTAGTACATACATCATAGCTTAACTTTATATTCTTATAAATTCTAATTTTGGTTTTATATGCTACACTGTCACAAATTATAAATAACAGTGTAATAATATTACGTGGTACACGCTCTAGTTTATTATTATTTTATAGTGATACATATCAGTGTTTGGACGGTGTGTGTATAGATTCAACATTAACCTGCGACGGAGTCCCGGAATGTCCAGATAACTCGGATGAGACCGAAAATCTTTGCTCCACACTAATACCAACGTAAATCAATGACATTATAGGTATTTGAAGACTTGCATTATGTGAACTTTTCTACGAGTTTTAGTTGTCCAAGTTATGCATTTCGGTGCAAATATGGCGCATGCATCGACCGAAACTTTAAGTGTGATGGAAAACGGGATTGCATCGACGGATCCGATGAAAATCTACCTGAATGTAAAGGACACGTTACTACTGGAAGTGGTTCTAATTGCCCGTAAGTTCTCAACTTATTAAGGACTTAAATTTCCCTTAGAGGTTGTTATATAAATAGTATAACAAAATACAAAGTATTGTACATAGTTCATCTCGGGGTGATGTAAATGACGTATGCTTATAATATTACATTGGAATAGAAAATATTTTACAGGTATTTATATCTGTACCGCGAGTTCAAAAAGACCAATCTCACTTTTTATTACAATTGAGAAATGAGTTTTAAATTGTGTACAAAACTACACATTAAAAATATTCACAGTGTTTTCAGTTAAACTTGTATTTAAGAATAGTTCTGATAGAGAAAAGTCCAGAGAGACAGGAGAAGCCGACGGCAAAGCAGACTAGGGGCGGTGAACGACAAACAAAAAGGCGGCGACAAGAAAAGAATTGTGAGGTAGAACCCGCATCGGCACATATAACCTACGAACAACTTCGTAACCATCACGCAAAATAGCTCTAAATAGGCGTCCGAAACGTTGGCAATGCCAATATAGCTTCTAACCTTATTTGTTTTTATCAAACTAGCTGCATTTTCCCTCACAATGCAATGAGCCAGCCTCGTGAAGCTAATTAGTTTATAGTTCTTTGGCTACCATTTTTTAAAAATGGAATTGGATAATTTAAATAACAACAATTTATTAACTCATGTGTTAACAACGACTGCATGTGAGAGTACCAATCAACATGCAAAACTCTTTATGTTAAAGGTTAGCACATTCATTTTGACCGGTCGGACCTATACTAACCACGTTTCCCGATGATTTCTAAAATATGAAATAAAATTCAATCCATTCTTTTAAACATTTAGAAGTCTTATAAGGGACTTTCCCTTCCAAATCTTGTATAAATTTAAAGCTGTATTTTTAAATGTATGTATAGTTAATTGACATAATACAGTTAAGTACAAAGCGATTTTTCAAAACATATTATAAATATGTTATTTATTTTAAACGTCAGAATTACGTTAAAAAACATAAAGTATGCGTATCATATTTATTTTTGAGATTTTGTACTGCATAAAGTGTACAAACTTATTCACCAGTTAGTCGCAGGTGTTGTTAACACTATCGAGTATTAAAAAAATACTAATTAACATGAAGTATCAGTATGTATTGTATTAGCTCTAAATACGAGGTAAACAAGAATGTTTATTATTATATATTATTTAAACAGTGAATTCTATATATTATTATATCGATATCATATATTATTTTGTATTTTGAAATAGTTAAATTTATAGTAAGTAAGTTTTTTTTCCTTTAGTTCTGACCATTTTAAATGCAAATCTGGCGAATGTATTGATAGCACGTCTACTTGTGATGGAACAAAGGAATGTAAAGACGGATCAGACGAGACACACGATCTTTGCAAACAAAATAAGTAATTTATGCTCTGAATACTTGTTAACTGCTAGGTGTTAACTAATTAAATTATATGTTTAATTCAGATGTCCAAGTTTTTTGTTTAAATGTAAATATGGCGCATGCGTGACTAAGGATAGTAAATGCAATGGTGTGAAAAATTGCGCTGATGGTTCAGACGAGGACCAATGTCACACTGTAACCACTGTCGTGACTCCTATCCACAAACCTTCACAAACTCGTCCTCCAACACATCCTTCAACACATCCTCCATCTTATCCTCCATCCAACAAACCCACTCCAGCCCCACTTCCACCAATCAAAAAGTATACATACATATTCCATGTTTTTAAATTAACATTATATTTGTATTTTTTTATTTATACAAAAAACATTATTTTACAGCAAAAAATGCACCGTTCCCAATGCAGAAGGAAGTGTATACACGTATTCTAATAATAACCAAACTTTATTATCACCTGGTACAAAAGTAAATCAATATGATTTTATTTTGGAAAATTGTAAAGCTAACTATTACCAAGCTGGACCTGCAAGAGTTAGGGGGTGTATGGATAACGAAGTTTGGACTCCGGTTTTTACCGATATATTATGTTTGAGTAAGTACATTAGACTACTATAAAAAATGTTCTGTTGATAATGCACTTCAGGAAAACTGTTTAAATTTTAGACGTATAACATAGTACTCTATTCCCAACAGCAAACAAATTTAAATATATTTAAAATGTGGTAAAAAATATTCTCAATGTTTTTTAAGTATGTTATAATAATGTTTTGGCACGAAGTTAACGTCTTAAATTTATTAACAAAATATTGTTTTATATTAGGCATATTTCCAAAAAAAACTGTTTGGGACGTTTAAAAAAAAAAACGTTTTTAATACTGTTGACTGGTTAGATTTCTATCTGATTTTTCATGTTGGTTTTGTGGCCATTAAGACTGAACTAGCTGTAATAATTAGAATGCGAGAGTAATCTCTTGATTAATTGTCCTAGTTTTTAAAATTATTTTAGTAATAGGAATTTTGAATTTATGAACGATGATTATTTCTCATATTAGTTGATTATTACTTTTTCTTGATTACTTAACACGTACAATATATACCTACTAACTAATTTGTTACATCAAAGTATTAATTTTTAATTACATGTTTTTTCTAGAAATGTGTTCTCCTATGATGTCAGATAGTCTGAATCTCTTATGCACGTTTAATGGTGACATTACTTCTTGTTCAAAACCGTCACAACCAGGTACAAAACTAAAACCATCATGTAAGCCAACTCATAGTCTTCCAAACGCGCAGGACGAGACACCAATTGAACTCACTTGCCAGCAAGATGGCCAATGGAGTGGTCAATTATACAAATGCGTTCCAGGTAGTTGAATTAGTCGACCTACTACATAATTTTCCCTAATAATCAAATAATAAACCACTTTAGAGTTGATCAGTGCAGTATAATAATATGTGTAAATGTGTATTCATGACTCTTTCATTACTTAACTTGGTAACTAATTTCAATTATTCAACCAACAAGGTATACTACCATTTATCTTAAATTTATACGTAATGCAAAAATATGCATTTCATTTTAGTACTACAATGCATGCATATGATTAATAATAATTAGAGGTGCGATGGTAGTCAGTACCAACTTCACCATAAGGTGAGAACATACGTTTAACGTGTCTAACCTAATAATTGTGTAACTTTAATTGTGAAATCACTCTACTAAGTATAATGTAATGTCATACGATAAACCAGTAAATAATATATAAAATTCATGTCGGAGACACATTTTGTTTCAGATTGCGGCAGATTATTTATCAATAGTATGCCATTAATTTCAAACGGCAATCTTACTCGCTATGGAGAGGCACCATGGAATACTGGCGTTTATAGAGCGAACACTAATAATAGTTTTGATTTGATTTGCGGCGCATCATTAATATCTCCTAATCTAGCCGTTTCTGGTGAGTTACACGATTTGTAATAATGTGCATTAAGCAATTAAAAACATCATCTGCATTTGTTTTTAGCTGCTCATTGTTTTTGGCAAGATGGTCAAACAGAGAAAATAATCGAAAACAAAGGTCTTTATAAAGTAGCCGTCGGAAAATTCACGAGAGGCATTGATATCAAAGACAATGAATTCACCCAGATTGTTGACGTAGGTTAATTGTTTGTTACGGGATACTCTATCTAATAAATTGATTACATAATACACAAAATATGGCTAAAAAACAATTGCAGGTAGAAAGAATACATATTGAAAGCAAGTATTATGGTTCTTCGGGGTTCCACGCCGAAGACATAGCTGTCATTGTTCTACCAATTAAAGTGACAATTAGCATTGCCGTTTCTCCGGTTTGCGTCGATTGGAAGGTCAGATATTCGGAACAAAACGGAGCAACGGGATTGGTAAATCATATCATATTTATTTACTTTGAATTTTTTTAAAATCAAACTCCTTTAGAAAATTTCCGCTTGAAAATCAATCTGTTTAAATTATTCAATACTTATTGTTTTGTTATTATACGTCGTGATTTCCTTCAACAGATAGTCGGTTGGGGAAAAACAGAAAATGCCGTACTGAGCTCTAAATTGCTGCAAGCAAAATTGCCGTACATCGATCATATGACGTGTCGAAATATGTACACAAATGGATTTGAGCTTTTCGTGACGAGCGATAAATTTTGTGCTGGATCAAAAATAGGTGATTTCAATTAAGAATTTTAATAATATAATTACTAACTAATTTTGGTGAATCTAGTTTTTATTAAAAAGCATAAAGGAAATAGTCTTTAACCTGTATCATCGGTATTTTATTACTCTTATTTACTTTTTTAAATTTTAATACTTAACTAAAATTAATTATTTTATTTTGACCATAAACAGCTTATTTTGTTGAATTAAATTCTCTGAAGGCACTTATTTTCTCTAATTATAATAATTTGCACGCTGTTTTTATTTAAATAGTGTAATGACATTCAACTTAAATTACATTTATATCTTGAGTGAAAAAATAGGATTATCAAAGTATACTTACCAGTTACCAACAAATTAGGTAGTATAGATTGAAGCTTAATAGTTTTAGACTTGTAGAATGTAAAATACAAAGCTACCTATTGAAAAAATAAAATTAGTTTTAATGATCCAAAAAAATTAAGAGAAATTGTTCATTAATCATTAATGAGCATATTATGTTTTTTAATGAAAATAGTGATTACTTATAAAATATATGTATACCAACCTATAGTATATTGTATAATATATCATACACCTGTCAAATACTATTGGTTATCGAACAGTCATAATTTCTAACAAATTATTCTTAATTTACAAAATTAATAAAATATAAAAGTTTGAAAAGTTAATAGCATCCTGGAAAATACCAAAAAGTTAGTTATTTAGAAATTGTATATAAATAAGTTTAGTAATAAGTATATAGGTAGTGAAATCACAAAAGTATGTTAGTTATTATATATATTTTTTTTTCTTTAAAAGCATTTTATACTTACTTTATATTTTTCTATTTTTTTAGGGCAAGGAGTTCACGAAGGAGATAGTGGCGCAGGTCTAACATTCGTACACAGTAATTTATATTATTTGGCCGGAGTTGTTAGTGTAAAGGATCCAAACACAAACGATTCAATTGCAGTTTTTACTGATGTCGGCCAACATGTCTCATGGCTTCGTAATATTTATCTGAATTATTCGAATGACAACATTTCGAGAACAATAAAATTGCTTCATTAATTATTATAATTTTAGTATTTCTTATTATACAGTTAATTTTTTAAATATTTGGCATTAATTCAACATTTCATATTTCTATATACATCACTACATGTCTATAGTACTTATTAAAAATATTTAATCCAATTGACAATAACTAAAGATGTATACATCTTATAAAATACAATATTTTTTATACTTTAAGGTCACAGTGTACTATACATTTATCTAATTAATTGATATCAACCTGGCATTGATTTACAATTATCCTTTTCCTAATTAATTTTTCTATCTATTACAATATATTTATTATTTTCACTTTATTATTCTCTTTCACCAATAATATATGTTCTTTATCATATGAAGGGCTGCGGGGGAAAAAGATCAATGTCAATATTTGTTCATTCTGAGAAAATCAAGTTTTTAATTTCAAAACGTAATACATTTTGACTGTATGCCTAAACTTCCGGCTATCGTTACTCTGGACTAATCTGTTTTTTCCCTGGTTCGTGCGCATAAAAGATACAATACGTCAATACAAATAATTTGATACCAAAATCTAATTTTCAAAAAAAAATGACATTGATCTTTTTTCCCCGCAGCCCTTCATATGCAGACGACCTTGTAATGTATTCTCAACATAAATATTTGACTAAAGCTGCTACTATACTCGACTTGGGCTCCGTATGCTTTTCATTAATCCTACATATAGTTACTTTAGTGTACCGCCCATCCAGTTTAATGATTCGGTTATCTTATATGTACGTCATTATCCAATCACACAATACCCTATGTAAGTAACATCTAAAATCGACATTATAAAATCTTGTATAGGTCTGATTCCATGTTTTATCAAAATACTACTTTTCATATACCTAGTAATATTATAGTGATGCAATCGTATTTTGTCTTAACTTCAACATCACCCAATTTCTTCGTTGATTATTTACTATTTTTTTCAGCAAACACTAATATTATTTTTGTTTTAATCAATAAGTTATAATAGAATAATCAGTGGCGAAGCGTCATAGGAGACAAAGAGACAATGTTTACCCACTTATAATACGGACAAAAAATTTGGTTTTATTTTATGTGTATAAAAATGTTTTAACCAATTTTAATGTAAAAGTATATTTTTTTTGTAATAGTATTCTTAGAATAGAGTAGTTGTGGACGCGGATCAGCGGGCGGTCGCGCTGCCGGCCGCCGGGTCTATCCAAATTTAGTATAAAAATAAATGAGACAATTTCAAAATTGTCTCATTCAAAATTTGTTGGGAAATGGAAAACGGCGGGGGTTTATCGTTGCGCTATGAGACATGTCTCACCGACCGCCGTTCATATTATTATTGTTTTGGTAGACGGTATCAGTTATCCGTTATCGATGTACGTTGTATCGATTGTCTAGTTGTACGTTTTCAAATATGCCTATGCCATTTAGTTCATTAGTTTTTGAACGTTTATTTTTTACAGTATAGATAAAATAAAATATACAGGGGGTCCAAGGGGGTGCAGTCCCCCTGTCAAGTCACGTAACACCATTTTTTTTTCAATGTCTCCCCGATCTAAAGACCCATGCCTCGCCACTGAGAATAATAATATTAATTATAACCAGTATATTATAATTGTTATAATAATAATTATGGGGAGTTAAAAGCGTATGTGTTTTCATTAAAGAACTGGTCAAGAAATGTTTAGTTTTGAATCGTTATGTATTTTTAGAGAAAATATTTTAACCATTACATTCCATAGGGCCGGTATGTAGCTAGACGAAATGAGTTAAATATTTATTGAAATATGCATTAGAGTCAATAAAATTCATATTAAATTGAAATACGATTTGTGATGTTACAAGTTGCCACATAATTTATATATTATTATTAAATTATAACTTATACGACACATAGGTAGTAATTAACATGTGATTACAATATAGTTGGCTTAAATAATTATTCCAATAACAGATTTCAAAAATACGGGTTTATTAAATTTTTAAGTTTTTTTTATATGAAATTACATAAGTGTTAAGGTTTATTGAAAAATCCAACTTACAGTTTAGCTCATAATGGCATATGTTAGATCTGCGGAAGAATGTACGGACCACAGACTTTGGTCGGCCAACCCCAAGATTGCATCCCGCGCGTTTATAGAACATTTTCAAAGGGTAATTTTTAGTTTTCATTAAGTAGCCATTACATACTTTTACTAGAGCGCTGTATTTTGACTATTGTTTCTGTATTCTATATTTTCACTATACGTCGTTATATTAATTACTTTTAGATGGGCGATGACTCCGATAGGTATATACCAGACAAAGTTGTTAACGAAGCATTACTTGCGGACAAAAACAAAATTATTCAACGCCTTTCAAGCCGGCTCAAACAGTTTATCGGTAGTGAAGCCAATGCGGTTTGTGATTGCACTGTACTACAACCCGCCCAGTTCTATTTGAGACCGTTCGCCCATTACTTTCACATGATAACGTAATGGGCGAACAGGCTCAAGATGTACAGGACGGGTTATGCAATAAATTATAACTAAACAAATTACTATAGGAATTTCAACGATAATCTTAACTCCGGCGTTCAATATTCAAAAAAAAAAAATCCCTATTTTATATTTTATTATAAACTTGATCCACTATATTTTAAGTGATGGTTGATAACAGTCATACGTGCAGTGTAAAAATTATCAGTGTAAGACCATATTAGGTCAGTTTAATAATATAGTGGATCAAGTTTTATTGATTTTTTTTTTTTACAAACATTTGTTGTAAAGTGTTATTTTTTATATTTTATGCGAAGGCATTCTGTTAAGACATTTTAAGATATGCAATGTAATTATCACATCTATGTACTTAATATCCTTTCTGTACCCATTTTTTTTTTATCGAGTTATCCAAAATAATATGCTATTTATATAGTAAAATGTTCTCTCTCTTTCGCACATTTTCGACCTATCATTCTGGACTAACATCTCAAAATCGAATTTATTATTAAGTTAGACTTAATGGGTTATTATAATAGTTTTATTCAAATGTAGAAAATAGTTACAACATACATTATATTTAAAACAATTTGTTTTTAAGAAACAAGATAAAGTAAAATAATAATAATTGTAATGTATGCTTTTTCGGCTAGCTGTTAGATGTAAATTCATTTCAATGCGATGGCGATCCTTGCAGAGAAAAAATGTCACCTTCTTCGTATGTCTTTGGCGAGCTAAAGGGTATGAAGAACTTATTTTACCAGATACCACAAAGCTTAACTAAATGCTCGTGTCAGGACTACTTAGGAGATGTATTGCCAAACTGTAGTTGCGTAAGTTAAATAACCTGTTGTAATCTATGGTAGCTTATTAAAATGACTGTTTGTAGAAACGAATATCGGAAAATGGGTTTTCAAGTAATATATGTTTTAACGGTTCTGGGGAAGAAGATAACGAAAGACATAGGTTGCTCCTGAAGATAAATTTACTTCAAGAACAGGTGGTTATTTTTGTTTTAATTCATTAAATGTATAAAGACTAAACTAATTTCATTTCTGTATCTTTTCTTAAATCATAATAATTTAAATGTTGTAATACCAATTGTATAACTAACTAGTTCAACTAGCTCAACTAAATTCGGCACATAAATAAAAGACACATTTAATATTTAAAAAAATCGGGGGAAAAATAGGTATCAAAGTGATGTGGTTAGAGAGAACAGATAACTCTATGCGTCAGGCAGTACCATTTAAGAAGGCGAGAGCGCAGCACTTAATTGACATGACCATAAAAATTAAAAAAGGTAATTTTTGTTTTTCAACTATTATTGTTTGTTATATTATTTTGTATACATTTTGGGTAACAAAGGACCATTTTGGTTTGGTGGTTAGGTCCTTTAATATCTTATCATCAAAAAATAAATTAAAGAACCACGTCTGCTTACACAATATAAATTCTCAATTGTAGTTATTGTTTATATCATTAATTAATATTTATAATTAAGTATAGTCGTAGGTAGGTGGTAATGCACCTACCAGTAGTATAAGTACTAATATCATGGATCCATTTTATTGATATTTATAATGTTTTTCCGCAGTTAAACCATTACAGTAAAAATTGTGGAGGCGGACAAAACTATGACTTTATAGCCATGCAGATATATCGTGACCAATTTAACCGGGAAAAAATAAATAATTACTACAACAACCAGAGACTTTTAGTAGGCATGGAAATCGCAGATAAAAAACTGAAGACCAACAAAAGTTTTTGGACTATGTTTTTTTAAAAAATGAGACACGTAATACATGGAATTTGTACTTTTTTTACTATTAGTGAAAAAATAATTATTTATCGTTTTTTATGACACCAATTATCGATTTGCGTTTCTGGGCTTTGATATGCTCAACTAGTTTTCCTATTATTTGTCTGAGGCTCATAAACATTTTATGAGATAAGTGTAAGTAAACGATAGTTTTATGTGGTTTTGAACAAGTTTATATTTTCAATTTTTTAAAACCATATACTAAGTTTTAATCCAAATATTCAATGTATTCTATATAATACAATAATAGTCTTTATTCTTGTTTTCGATAGTTGTACTCCAGATATTTTTTTTTTATCTATACACAATTTCAAACTTCTTAATAAAATTGAATAACAGTAAATGAGTACGATAAGTTAACCAATAGTTTTAGTCTCAGTGTTGATGTTTGTGGATGTTTTTCTAACTTTGAGAGCGCAATCGTTAATTTGATTTCCAAAGAGTGCTGTACACAACGGTCGATAAAACAATTAGTTACAAACTAAACTGTGTCGATGAGAAAGAAGCCTTTATAATAATTTTTCTACTTTTTATTATATTGCATTACTTTAACCATTGAGTACATATTGTATAATATTATACAATTTATACTCAATTCTTCAACTTACGTAATGATAATTTTTGAGAAATAATAATCGAGTGTAAGACAACAAAATAATTTCTAATATTTTACTTCTAGTATACGAAATTGAAATTATGATTTAGGTCAGAAGAGACTGAAGTATTTTAAACCGTTGCATAAATTTAGGGGTTACGGTTTTGAGCTGGTAATAAAATACCCGTGTATTTTGATAGCTATGTAATCGTAAACTCTATGCAAAATTCTCACATGATCAATGGAAATTAAATAATACAGAAAAGTAATTTTGAAATAGAAATAAAATGAAATTTAAAACATAAAAATAGAAAACATGTCATGACAATAATCATCTTAAACGCCAGGCTATTTAAAATGAAAATATAGAGCCATTTATTTCTTCTAAATTGATATAATTGAAAATGATCACTTCAATTAGGGTGCTAATTAAACTATTATGTATTGCTTTTTTTGTTTAGAGCGTAATATATATTTTTCTATTGATTGATGATATGTGTTACTGCTTATTGTGTATACGGTATAATTTACAAACCTAATACATCGCATTCACTTGTTCACAATAAGCCAATAAATTAATTTGGCCTATTTGTTATGATAAACATGGTATTATAGATTCACAACAGATAGACCCATGCTGTTATACTTGGCAGTTGGCTTGACTGTTCCTCTGAACAAACTCATGACTGATTGCTAAGAATTCAAGCTACTACTTTTGTTGTATTTTTTTTAAATATTAAGGTATTTAATTGAGTATTGACTGAATAGGCCAGCGCATAGATTAAGGTGCAAAAATCGTCAATTTTTATCAAAAATAATGTTTTAACGCATTCCGCGGATGACAACATATTTTCTCAGGTTAACTTGTATAGCTTTAGGGTACAATTTTCAATGTATACAATTTTTTATATAGTAATTTTGAAGAATGTTCTAAAACCTAATAGAAAAAACAATGACACCTTTAAGAGTATTATTAGATTCTCTACGTACGTTTTTCTTTTTTTTTTTGAAATAGAAAATTGTCTGCATAGATCTCTGATTTTAAAAACCTCAATTTTTGTATGTCATACTAATTTTCGTATGTCATAGTTTAACTATTTCAGTTTTTAACTAAATATTTTTGTTACTTTAAGTAATTTAATAAAAAAAAAAATGGGAGATCCATGTGCGCTTTTTACATTCAAGCAAAAATTATCAAAATCTAATCTACGAGTTATTGTCGTTCCCCGTTAGCCATGATTTTGAAAAAAAGCCATGTCTGAGTCCCATACGATTTAATAAAATATAAAAAACACAATTTTAAATAAAAAGGATATCAAATCCCGTATATTCATTTATTTTTACTTTTTACAAGACACTGCAAACATAATATATTGACAAAATATCATTATACTTAATGTTACTATTCTGTATTGAACTGGTACATTAGTATTTAATGTATTATTATATAAATAAATATGAAATAAAATTACAAAACGGTAATACGCATAATGAAATAACATGTTACCAAATTTCCTTAACACAATTAATGAATCAAAAACATTTTATAATATTAATTGTTTACAAGTGACTTTGATAAAACAAATCATTTTACTTATCTATAAATGCAAATGTTTTACTTAGGCTTATTTGTAAAACTAGTCAGAAGCAAAACTTCATATTTTTCAATAATGAAAACGATCTGTATAATAAGTATTAAATTAAAGTCTAAACATAGTGCAAAAGGTGAATGATTTGTATGTATACTATAGAGTATAAACTATTATAGAGGACATTTTTGTTAAAATGATTTGTACGTAATATTTTACAAAAAGATATGACAGTAAAAGTTTTTATTGTAATTTTCAATCACATTATTTTATGAAAAATCTGTTTTATATTAGTTATTGAATTCTGACCTACAAATTTTAAGTTGTATAATTTAAATGTTGAGCCTAAGCAATAACCATACGCTTTAGCTATATTATAACTTACGAATTAGTTAGGTTATACTGTTTTGAAAATATTATTTAAAAAACCATTACTCTTACATTAAATCCGTTAGATACCTAGGCATATATCTTAAGTCTAATAAATGTAAATAATGATTTGTAATACAACCCTTTGTAATAAATCGTAAGTATTTGCAACGCTAATTAATTACACTATTATAATGATTAATGATAAAATAAGTAAAAAAAAAAAAACATAAGATAATCTGAACACGCTTATTCAAAAACCCGCATACATAAGAAAACAGATATGCACATTATACACCTATAAATAATCTTAATAAAACCCAATAACATTTTAAAAATAATATTAAATTATTATTGCCTAGTAATATTATTACTAGGCATGATAATATTATAATAAGATGATGCATAATAGTTAACACTTATTTGTACAAAACAAACGTGGTTATCATATTATTTGTATTGAAAACCCGTAGTAATTATTATCCTTAACCTAATACATTATTACTTATCATAATAATGTATGTTAAGAGAAAAATATAATATATCATATGTTTGCAATTTTATGCGTTTCTAAATCTACTTGATACCCGATACTCCGAACTGTATGAACGACCGTGTCGTGTTCATTATAATAACAATAAAATTAAAAAAAAAAACTCTAGATACAACTTAAACGTACTTATAACTAGGTATTATTAACTTAGGTATCATTATTATTACTATTATTATGGTACAAGAGAAATCTCACGTCCAACGTTGGAAATTCTTAAAACTCTGGGAACTTTTATTAAGATTAAGTAAGTGGAAGGTAAAAAAAAGAGTATTTAATCACAGGCCGAGAACGCGACAGAAGTTATGTGCAAAGCGAAAATCAACGCATGAACAGAAGACAAGAGAACGAGACAGTATTATTAGTTAAAATGATTGGATATGTGTGTAAAAATGTACAACGGTGATATGATTAAAGCAATAAAAAAGTTAAAATGTTATACGTGATCGACTAAACAGGTCCCTGGCCCGTGAACAAATTTAAAGGCGGCCTTCAAAATCCCAACAACTTATCATAAAACAGGTATTATGATTTTCTTATAGAAAATTGTCCACAGTCACGCTCCTCAGCTCAGTGTGCCCCTGAATGTAATGCCAAACAAACCAAGCGTCAAAAAAGGTGACTAGTGATAATAATTATTGAAGATATGACCTATAAACATTAATGTTACTATTTGTTGATTTGTTCACAAAGTGCATTGATACGCGGCTGAGTCAGAATGGAATTCGACAGATTTAAACAACTTATAAAACAAAAAATAATATTACATACCTACACGCATTTACCCATAGAGCACGATCAATGCACGTGACATGATTTCCCATCTTTGTAGACCAACAGTGAAGTTGTTGATGGCCTAAAGTGTTGGTTGGCCAATCGATAAGGGTTGACACTTAGGTCGTGAATTGTTTGAATGCACATGCCATGCTCCCTGATATGCTTAACGAGTAGGGTAGTTGTTAGGGATACGGTTGTCGTGAAGAAAAAGTAGGATTTAGAATAGTAAGAAATATCGCTCGAAAACGTCCGAACGAGTTAACTGTTCGATCGGTTTCATCCGAATACAAGTGGAAGACCGTAGAAAACGAAGAGGAAAGGGGAAATTTATCTAACAAAAAAAGCAAAGGCGTTCAAACCAAGACCATACTAATCATATTATCACCTATAATAATAATAATAATAATAATAATGGCACATTATATTATGAAAAAATAATAGTTATACGTTAGTACTTAAAAACGAGTCGGAACGATAAAACGCAAATTCTCTCCGGACGCAGCAAAATGGTTAGTAGATGCAAATACTATCATTGATTATTCTTGTTGTGATTTGACTCGACAAACTTTTACATAATATATTTAAAAAAAAAATCCTGTATAGCGGTTGAAAAAGCTGACAATACTATAGGTTACTATACAGTTTTGGAGTTATTCATGGTTTTAATCTGTTCATATTTTAACATATGATTTTCTTTTGTATGTAGATTTTTCATCACTTAAGCTGTTTATAGATATTTGTGAAACGCAGTACCGGAAATAAGATGCGTTTACCGAACGGCTCTTTTAAAAAAAAAAACAAAACCTTATGATTAAGATGTTGTATCCGTGCGAATACAACAACGCGATACCTAATACTTAAATTTTATATTATGCTATTACTAATATTATGTACAAAATTACTCATTAATACTTGCGACACAAACAAACGTGGAAAGTCGCTAAACGCGTCGTTTACGACGTTCGTCTGTGCGCCACTACTGCCTAACAACACTAAGTGGTCCCCGATTCTGCTGATGATTAAAATGTTAAAAATATTAATAATAATTATCCTAGGAACAAAAAAAAAAACATTGCGTTTTCATTTATATATATATATAATAATACTAACGAAACTCGTTCTAATCGACATTTCATTGCGATAACTCGAAATAGCATTTTCGAACGCGATCGCAATAATAATGACGGCAATGGTCCCTTGAAACCATCATCATTATTGTCAAAAATAATGACGGCAAAAATTAGAAATTAAAAAACAAAAAACAAAATCGCTTACGATAAATGTTATTACTATCTAGTGAATAAAAAACCAAAAATGTATTTAATCCTAAACACGCTCTACAGACTAAGCACATTAACTTAACGATACCTATGCATAAACACGAAAATTACTAATATAGTATAATATAGCCTAGAAGTATTGGTAAATTATAAATACACGTAAATCTATTGGTGATCAACGGCGGCAAACAGCGATATGATTGCTTATGAACTCGCAGGCTGAGGAGAAACGAATGACACGTTTCCACAGCGTATGCTTCTTTAAGTTTTTTTTTCTCTAAACGTTATTCATAGCGGTCTTGAAGATGGAGTAGTATTGTAAACGAAAAAAGCAAAAGTTAATATTATAATTTCCACCCATAAAAACAACCAAAAATTGTTGTTTCTTGTCTTATTCAACACGTTAGTATCAAGCACTTAAAACAAACTTTTTTCGATTATTTCCATTTGAAAAAAATTACACTGTATTTTAATTTTCTCTATCGTTCACAAACATCCTATCCGACTCCAACTGTGTCCGGTTTATATCTCTTGGTCGTTCTACTTAACGTTTAGCCATCATACTCATCGATGATTGTCATTATTAACATTGATTTTAAAATATACAGATAAGCGGCGCTATACACAAGAACGGCGATCGATTTTATGTGGGGTTCTCGCTGTCAAAAGAGGTACCCTCGTCATAGTTTACCATCGTCCAGTCCAAAAACTATGACGGGCGGGAATCCCGCATAAAATTGGTCGCCGTTCTTGTGTATAGCACTACCTATCTGGATAGTTTAAAACCAATGGTATTATCAAGCTATTAATATGGCGTTAGAGTATCACATAATGGCCACCGTTGCGTCGTTAATTTAGTCAATTAAATCGAATTAGTAAACTTCAATGTCTGTAGCTTATAAATACCGAGTTGGCTTTCATAAATAATTTGCCAAAATCAAATTGTGCGTTTTACAATAAAACAATAAATATTTTCACGAAATCCTAACACATTGTACAGAAAGCATAAAAATGATCAATATTTATTAGCCGCCCAACGGGGGCATTAGTTAATGTTGCCACGATGAATCAGTATGATTATTTAAATTAAAGGCTTGCAAAACATTAACTTCAAACGTCAATATTTAGCTTTACACACAATCGAAGATTTTATCAACTTATATCGTGTTTAGGTTATAATAATACTATGACTATGGTTGGCAAAACTAAATTTTTAGCAAGCCAAAAATGCCACAATTGATTTTCTTAGGTTTGTTTAAATTGGAGGGAGGTTCTCTTCGTTTTTTTTTTTGGTACGAACAGATAACCATTGTACTCAAATATTTCGTTAGATTTTGTGGAAAAAAAAATGTTTATAAAATAAAAAATGTATTCAAGACGATTCCAAGACGATTGATTGTACTCTTAGACCGTGATTACAGAATTATCGGCTACAGCACGTGTAGGTTTTCACACGACTTGGACTTGGAGTCTCTGGCCCAAACCTTGCTCAGCAGACCTTTTACCCGGAGGCTGGTAGATGTCCGAGATCCCCTGTACTTTTTGAACGTCGGCCCACAATTGGTCAACGGCGACTTGGACCTTTTCCGCATGGAGATTGATTTGTGAGTGCCGCTATCGGGCGGCTTCTCAAGTTTTAGCCGGATCTGCGTTAGTATGCCCACAAGCAACTCGTCCACGTTGTAGTTGATGATCACTGACGTTTCGATGAACTTACAATCGTACCGAGTGGCCATCTGCTTGCCGACTAGAAGTTCAAAAAAAAATGAGTTATAGCCGTTGCATACTGTATTAATTGCAAACATATTTTTATATTATTATGCTCAACTGTCGAAAAGTATTCGTAGGGAAGAAGACTGAGATTGATTAGAAAATTCATAACGCCAAAATATCATTACATGAATTTAATAAACTACTATGCCCTCCGATGCATTTATAACTTGTGCACTATGCCATCGATATATTGAATGTATTCATATTTTTAATAGTTAAAACTATTTAATTTTGGAAAAAAAAAAATCATTAATTTCTACAACAGTTATTTGGAAATAATTGTACACACTCTCACTGTTCATATCGTTGATGATTATCCAATAGATTATATGCATGGTATTTGAAGCTTTCATTTACAATGTATAGTATTGAACTACCAAATCCTGGGATCACTTAAAATAATTATTATTGCCATGAACAAACATTCTCATTCAAACAACTACGGTTACGTGACCACATTTGTTTCAAAATGCTAATGAATGCAAACATGAAACGGACAACTAGTTAAAAGCAATTTATTGGAAAGCTATTTTTTTTATAGGTGGTTTTAATCAAATGTAGAGTACCAAACGGGGGAAACAAATGTAAGTATATTTAAAATGTATCTATAGACATTAAATAGTTTAACGTCATTATTAAGATCACATAATATGAATTCAAAAGGCAGTCCACTTAAAAGTTATTATAGGGAAAACTTATTTTGAGCTGATATTTGAGTACCGGCTGACTTGATGAAATACTGACGGAAATTTTTCAAAATTTTACAAAATACATTTGTTGTAAAATTATAAATGTTTGCAAAAAATTATTAATTAAATTTATTGTTTAAATAGTATTATACTATGTGGAAAAATGTGTACTGGACAGATTTTTATTCAAAAATATTTTATTTGCCAATAACTCTTGAAACTAATGGAATATACAGACACCAACAAAAGCGAAATAATAAAAGAAAAAAATAAAAGAATACGAATTTAAGAGAATTGCTTTCAAAAACAAATTTCTATTCACTTCGACAGCGTCAATTGAAATTCAATTATTATTTGTGGTTTATTTTCAACATTACCTCCCGATGATACGACATTTGGTCTCACAATGTCGTTCTTGTTGCCGACCAGTATCACAGCTTTGTTCCTGACTAAATCGGCTTTCCACAGAGCTTGAAGCCATTCTTCAGCTTGCTTGAAACTGTCCCAGTCGTTCCTCGAGTATACAATACAGTAAGCGTGTGGCGTTTCTTCGAACACGTCGTTACAATCATTAGGCTGTGCACAAAACAAAAATGTTAATAAAGCGATGGAATGCATACAGTCAGAGTTGTGCAAATATTTCGGTTTTTCAAGATTTTAATCCAATAAAAATTTTTAATAATCCAATTTTTTTTTTTTTATAAAGCATTGAAAATATACATAAACCTGTTCCTTAACCTAAGTGTTTTCTATATTTACACCTTTTATTTTTCTTAGAAAACAGTTTTGATTCGAAAAATTAGATTGTATTGCATTTTGAAATTATAGAAATTAGTTTTTGTTAAATAATCATGTCTGTTATGTTTACCACATTATTACATCCCCTGTATGTAATAGTCAATTTTCGTAATAGATAATAACGTCGAATATCGATTTTTGGTGTGTCCATTAAAAGGTTAATCTTAGCTTTTGTACATTTTTTATACTTGTAAACTTTTGTACTTTTGTACAATAATTAGCTTATACGATAGTTTTAGTGTCATAGTCTTAAACAATTTATACGGAAAATTATGTACACAGTAAATCAAATTGGAAACGGATTCCACGGTGTTATTTAAATTATTCGAGACTTGTTGTAACGTATGTGCATAATACATACGATTTTCGTCGCGACACAAAACGAGAAGCATCTAAATGGGATTAACAGTGTATACTCGCATAGCGTACATTTATAATTGTAAGACACGGTATTATTGACAAAATAAGGAACTGATATAAAATATTTAAGTACACCACCCTTAGGGACGAAACAAAGCGCTGTCTGTTTTATTGGAACAATTAAGTTAGGTTTTTAGGTAAAATTAAGGTTTTTGGTGTAGATTTTCGTAAAACTATAGGCGAAGGTAAAGAAAAAAATATTTAAGATTCGTTTTCAGGCAATAAGTCACAGAAAATGCTTTGTTTGGTAAACCTAACAGTTAATCGTTTTCGTTATAGAATCTAGTGATGGGAATCCGAAAATCCGGATTTTTCAAAAAAACGCTTTTTAAGTCATTTGAAAATCATATAATTGTTAAATACTATTACAATATAAAGATGTGTACCTAAGTAAAATTTGTTGATAAAATTTTTTAAAAAAAACTCTTAACTTTGTCTATAAAATGCTTTCGGATTTCGGATTCCAGATTTTCGGATTTCAACAAATCCGAAATTCAAAAGCAGTTTATCTCTTTGGTGTTTTGTTTTATTTTCACATATTTATTAAAAAAATGTTACTTAGATATAGAGCTTTATATTGTAAAATTATTTAACACTTAAATGATTTTTAAGTAGCTTAAAAAGCGTTTTTTTGTGAAAATCCGGATTTTCCGATTCCCATCACTAACAGAATCTATGAAAAAAGTAAACTTCCATTATATGTAATAATGGGCATTAAAATTCGGATTTATTCACTTCTGATTTGAAAATATCAACTACATTCCATCTAAGAGTCTACAGCCGTTGACAGGTCCTATAATAATAATAAATAAAAATAATTTAACCATGTTTTGTTGTGTTCAGTTACATAACGTTTGCGCGTATTCATTTTCAGATCAGTTTCTGAACAGCTCAAAAGGTAACTCAGCGACTTCAGGCATTTTGTCATGGCTCATGTTCTTTGTAAACGTAGTATTTTAGCATAGCAAATTTCAGTTAAGGGTCTAACGTTGGTCGTGTGCTTATTGTGCATGATATGTACCAACATAGAGCCAATTAAGGAAACACTAATGAGAAGTTGTACAGACATTCGGGACGTGTTCAAGAATGCAATTCAGGTCGAGAGAGCCCAACGTATCCATCGAAAAAAACGTACTTAGTCACCCTGTGGATAAGAAAGAAGGCAACCGATGCGCGGAGAGAAATTTGTATTGTTTTTTTTTAAGCAATCGGTAATATAATTCGTCCAAGGACATATTTTGTTGTAGCTCTAAGTTTTATTAAACTTTATGTACTTAAGTTTTATTTAATAGATGTTTTTAATCATTTCCGATATTCCGGCCTGTAATATTTGATTAAAAAATGTTACAACGATCTATGCACGTTCGTCTGCGTATCGGTTGTGTATAAACATGGTACGGCCACCGGCGAGAGGTGCATTCGCGTTTTTAATTGGATTTGCCGCAAAAATCTGGATTGCCATTTCAGCGCAACGGTAACCTTAATATTATTTGGACGGCACTTGTAACGTCGACGCCAATAAAAACCGTAGAACATGTGTTGCACGGGACCGTCGTCAAGCGCGATGGCAAAAACAATTTATAGAAATCGAATTAAAAAACGGCCGAATTGGACCATAGTAATTTATCGCCGTTGAATAAACGTGCGTGCGTGGAATTCAATTAGCCGCACCGGACTTTGATTACCGCTACAGCTGTTGAGCTACAGTTTTGGCCACTATAAAAGCAAACAGTGACAGGACTGGTTGTTATTTTTTTCCCTAAGTTACGGCGATTATAAACTATAAAATAATATGTAACATAAACTATTTTATTCCTGTTATATTTCAATTTATGATTATTTTTTATTTTGTAATTATTTTCATTTATATTTTATTTTGTTGAGAATCTTCAATAGCCGATATTGTTATATTGTTTTCCTGTGTTACATATGTTAGTTAACTTAACAACAGTTCGATCATCACGTGTTTAATTTATACTTCAATTAAAAAATATTATTACGTTATGTTTTTAGGTTTGGTAGGAAATATAATAAGTATTCTACCGCTATGTGTTTTTTATATATATATGCTATTTGTATATACGCTATATGCTATTTGTTTTTAAAATATATTATTGCTATGTAAGTTAGGTACCAACTGTCCAAACTGAAGATGGTTTTACAACAAATTGTAAGTTATTCAATTGTGTGTATATAAATAAAAATACAATATTATATTGAGTTTTAGTTTTGGTAGAACCGACGGTTTCATATTGGATTATTATTTTACTATTTTTATTTCAGACGGTTTTATTCTTAATGAACTGGGTTACGTTAAACGTTACCGACGTAGTATAATAACAATAAAACAAATAACAACTGTGGTTCATTTTAAATTTGATAACGTTATTTTACAAAACCTTCCAGAATGATTTTCTAAACTATTGTAACGTCGGAAACAGCCTTGGTGAAAAATAAATTCGCCGTGATATCAATCATGCCGAGACTTCGACGGCGCTACCACATAATTTAAGTGTATTGACTTTTCGACATTGCTTGCAGTCACGTTACGTGTGAATTGGTGCTGAACCTTTCATGAACTGAAATTACTGGTGTCTGGTTCGGTTATTAAATAACTAGATTATACCGAGTTCGTTAAAATATGCCCCTAAGGCTTTTGACGTATCCTTTAATTGCATTTGTGTATTGAAGGTTGATCAGCCTTTGAACTATGGACATCAAATGGATCGTTCTCTTTAATTAATTGATTGGGACCAAATTAATTCATTTATAAAATGTTTTTAAAATTACTGTTTAATTTTGTTTACTTATTATTTTTATTAAAAAATTATCCGTTATTCTGTTAAAGTTTTTAGAATCAACGACAAAATATGTGTATAGATGTCAGCTCTAAGTGGAAACTAATTGAGCGGTACGCATTTTTTCGTCCTCTGCCCTTTTGCTATTAATATATATATATATTTTTTTCTTCAACGATATCCTTCTTCTGCATATTTAAAATCTTTATTTCAATCTTCCATTAAATTTTAAAAACATTTTAGTCTATATTGATGTACAAGAAATGTTGAAATCTACTCCGTTGGTTCAAGTATAATATTATTAAGTCTATACAAATAAAATAGCAACTGTCCTTTTCTCAACGGGGTGGCAGTGGATATAATTTGCCTTTTGATTGAGTAATTGTAGAAACGAATTTAAATGTTAATTCGTAACCACCTATTCAATACAATTTGCTATACCTAGTTATGTTGTTGAAATCAAATATAATCACGACTTTGTTGTTGTATTTCCACAGGGTACCACTAGTTATTAAGAGTTGGTGTATGATAGGAAATTATTATGAGTCTAGATACCGTTCGCTTTCTAAGTATTGTATACTAACAATGTTTGTTGGGCAGCGGCGCTTGCTTTGACTATATGATTTTTTATACCCAAACAGAAGTCGGGTCACCGAACTAAATTATTTTTACACACAAAGAGTGTGTATAAAAGTTCTTTGCAACAGTGAACAGATTTTCAGCTTTAGGTTTTCGTCGCCTGCCGTTCGACAAACATGTATAGCCTCCTTATGTGTCAAAATACGATTATATGAACTCCGTCAACTGTTTTTTAGAACTTTGATCTCACAAGCAACATGAAAAACATACTGATTACAAACTGAGTGGTTTTATATTGTTTTTAAGCGATCAAAATATATTTCGTATTGTAAATGAAATGCGATTACAGTACACCGATATCATATAAAATATAATATGGATGTTAATTGTAAAGAACAAACGCACCTGGAGGCTATTTTATAAAAAAATAGGTTTACACGATGAAGGCTTTATTGTTATATTTTATATGCTACTTTTCTTATTTTTTTATTTATGTATAGCATGTTATTCAGTCTGTTCTCCTAAAAAAAAAGTTTAGGGAAATTTAATTTAATTTTTAATTTTCCGTGCAATTGTAGGAGTTAAGATTCCTAGAGGCTAGAAGTATATTTAAAGTTGATATAACCAAACAAGGTCGATAACAGCAAAAATTATATATCAAAAAAATGATATTAATATTACATCTTAATAATTTTAACAATACTTTTAATATCGTCAAGATAGGTTAACTGTCTCAACATAATGTTTCCTAAGTATTATAAACATTATAAATAACTACTATTATCAATTTAATAGTTTTTCACAAAGTTAAAAATACGTTATATTTTTAATATTTTATACCAAATAATATTAAGAAAAATTAAATTAATAATTAAAATATTTTTATATTTTATGTTCCTCATATTATGTTTTTTGAAATTTATTACTACTGACTACCTATCCGAGCCCGGACCCTTCCAACTATATGCCGACATATTGTAAACATTATACTATTTGATTAACTGTAGCTAAATATATTTATAAGTAGCCTGAAAACGAATACAATGGAGTTCATGACAGTTCCCGACGTGCCTGTAGTAACATAGCGTGTCGACTAGTCATTATTCTAGACCCGGCAAAGGCGATTGCAATCTAAACGAACCGACTTGTTCTGTAGCTTCTGCTTTATAATTATTAATGACCTAGCTTTAATGTACTTTGCTTTTCTTTCTTTCATTTTTGTTTTTTAAAAACGTCGTAAGATTACGCGAACTTAATGCCATTCCGCAAGGGGTTAATCGTGTGGTTGCAGATAACGTTAATGTAATGTACTTCCTGAAGTATTTTAACACTCACCGCATTTGGTTTGTCCAAAAATATCAACTCGGATTCTTCGCCGTCTAACAATACTGATACCGATTTTTCACCGTCTTCGTCTAAAAAAATAAAAACATAATAGTAAGTATTTTTTAATCTTAAAGTTATACCAATACCTACGCTTATTATTATACCATCGTTCATTAAATCATTAATAGTTCTACGTTTTTAATCCTAATAAAATAATTATTAAAGTATAGACTGTTAATTGTATTATTTAAATGCAATTACTCTTTGTTAGTTATCGATGTGTACAGTTGTCCACGAACTACATACATATTACAATTTTGCAACAAAAAATTGGTTAACTAGAATATCAGACTCGATGAAACGACAGAGGAGATCATATTTTATTAACTGTTAGACAATATTATTATTAACCGTTAGGCGTTAATTAGAAAATGGGCTCAGTGTCTAATAGTATTTCCAGTATGTTTAATGTCAGCATTGCGGCTAGTACAAGATGTCAACCGGAACTCGATGCGGTTAAGTATGCGGTTGTGGGTTTGTACAATGCAAGTGGCGCAAATGGCACAGCAATTATGTATGTATACAATTTTACACTAAAAAAAAAATTAGTTAAATTGCATATTAGTTCAGTATATTCGTATTTTTTTCTTATAATATTTCGTATTGGTAACAATCATAAAAGAGTGATGTTTAATTAAATATTTTGCGCCAACGTATTATACATCTTCAAATGTTAAAAATTCTTCAAAAATATCACATTTGAATGCATTCTTTAATTTATAATTAAAAACTAATTACCAAAAATGTATAAAAAATAATAACAATGTAAAATAATCTTATCTTTTAAGATATTGATTGGCTAATACTGGGACTACCGATCATCTATTTTATTCATTTTATACACGGCTCGAATTTATGTAAATAATTTAACATGCTTATAGTTGATGAAACAAAGTTATTTGTATCTAATGATTGAGTGATTGTAATGGTTGTTATAAAATCATTATGAATGAAACTTGTAGGATTGATATTGAATCGGAGAACAAGGATAACGAGGCGTTGTCTTTGTCCGACCCGGCAGTATTACAAAGTTACACCGACAAGAATATAGATGCCAAAATTAAGAAAACCCGAGGTATTACTTCTATGATTAACTTCACCCATGTAAGTAAGGTGTACATAAGTTACAGAAATTACAAACAATCGATATTGTAGCACAACTTCATATCATTAATGCAATGATTAATACTTTTGTTTTCAATGCTCTACGAAAAATTCTACATGTTTTTTATTTAAAAAAAACGTGTAATTTATGTATTATTAAAATGAAGTCGTTCCACAACTCGATTGTTCGCTGATCGACAAACTGAATAATCAGAAAATTCACCTGATTGACGCCTTAGGCTTGTGTATATTATTAGAATTATTTTTGTGCTTGAATTTGTACGCTGTTCCCTGCCGATGTTATTATTTTATTTTTACATGAATAAAAATATAAAAAAATATCAACTTATATGAATTGATAAATAGATTTTCAATTGAAAGTATTTTAAGTCTACTAGCTACCTAATGTGTATTTTATTATTATAAATAACTGTGCGAACCTTAATCTGTTACAGTTCTTATGGAGTTATTGTCGGATGATTATTAGATCCATATATGAACCGATCAAAAAATACGGTAATGTAAAAATATATATGTATTAAATATCATATGTACCGGATGATTTTTTTAACTCCCTACACGGGTTTTCTCTTTAAGCAAATGTAATTTTTCAGTTTTTATTTTGAAAATATTTTTCTTTATGTTAATTCATAATATTAGAAATAGTCATATTTTTTATCTTTTCCAGTATCTGTATTTCGAAAGCGCGCTATCAATTTTCGAAACTAATGTAACGTGTATATAATTACATGTATCAAATTAAAAAAAAACGTTCTGAAATTGTTGGCTGGTCAATAACCAATTTTAAATAAATATTATTAGTGATATTAAAGTTAAAAATTAAAAACGGGAGGAAAGGTAAGTGTAGTATTAATTTTGTGTGTAATGCTCAACCACTCTTCACTTTATATAAAAACATAAAAAAAAATGTTTTCAAAAAGAAAAACTAAAACATTTTAAATGTTTTAAAAGAAAACTAGTGTAGGGTCATAAAAGAATCATCCTTTATATCTATTATTGTCATCGTCGAGTACCAATAATGAAAACCAATATATAACGTTTTCGATCCGAATCGACCGAATGATTTCGCAGGTAAGAAGTTCTCACAAGTATGTTCCAATCTTAAAACGGACTTCTTGGACTGGTTGCCATTCTATTTTTCCACAGAAATCTATCCGCCGCCGTGAGTATATAATATCATCGATATAATCGTTTACTATAAAATAATCTAGTTGGAAACCGAGGACTAGGGTGAACGGAATAATTTTTTTGACGTAAAAAATGTTCTTCCCAAATTTGAAATAAAAGATAACTCTTTTCAGAAACCTCAAAAGCATTTTTTTGTCCAGTAGATGAACATAGCACGATAATATAATATTTAATAAGGAACTACTTATATATGTTTAGAATTAAAAAAACATTTTTTTTTTTTTTATAATTTTGTACACATTTAGTTGATATCCGAGTTATCGTTATTATATGGTTTACAGCGTTTATTGTAGTGAGAATACATTCGATCCGTATCGTAGGTATCAAAAGATCCGTGCGGCAATAAGTCTTCGCGGAGATCCGTCATTTGTTGATGTATTGGTTTGAGTTATGTCAAGAAACACAGTTGTTGTATATTGTTTGTTTCCATATCCATTAATTGGTCATTTTTTTAAATTTTAAATATAGTCTATTTAGGAAAATAGCATAAGTATTAAAGTTGTGCATTCATTGTGTAAAGTCTAGTTCGTATTATGTAGATTGTGACATGTATTGTAACATGTGTTACAGTATAGTATTAGTTATAGTTATTATAGTTATAGTATTACATATTAACCCTAACTCAGCAATATGTGTGAACCTAATTATTAAACCATAGCATAAGCAACTCTTTTTCGTATACATTTGTCATGACACAACACACACATACAATTTATGTATATTTAAGTAAAAATAGATTATTTTTTTATAAGTAATATCATTTTCTAGTAGTAATTTATAACTTAACACATTTATTTTACATATATTTCAAGTGGCTCAACTAAATCATTGCATTTTTTTTTTACAAAAATAGATAAATATTGAACTTGATTTTCATCATATCAACCATTAACTTCTGCTTTTTTATTGTTTGAAAAAATCTACGCACATTTTTCAGTACCAGAAAAATGTTCTGGTTTTCTCATTCAAGACTTGACATAATTCTCCATTTTAATTTTATGAATGAATTTTTATCTCCTTCTGTTACAAAACTAAGCTCGAATAGCTTTATAATATTGTTAGAGTTTTTAAACTTGAAATTGATGAGTTATATTTTTTTAGTTCTAACCTAACCGGCCGCGGAAAAATTATTATCGTGTATTATTTGTGTTTTATTGTAAATGATCAAATTTTTACAAATAATATCATACCCACATTGTACCACGAATAGCTTACTTATATAACGACCCAGTTTCCATCCGAACATAAACGAAAATATCAAGCGAAACGCTTGTGTCAAACTTTGAGTAAATCGAAGGTTGCGGGATAAGCCTGTCTCGTGATGATTCACGTGTGCATATACTCTTAATTACCGTATTCTGTAGACAACTGACTTCTGGAGTTTCACGTTTGAGGTCTGTATAGTTAATATTGTATTTAGGATTATTAATTATTATCTTATATGTAACCATTAATTTATACTTGCATATTTTAAATCATCTTACTTGAGTATACTAATTTAATGATTAGTATACTCAAGCTCTTGTGTAATTAATTAAAACATATAATTTAAAAATATAAATCAAATCGGTACATAATGTATCGAGTGGTCACAATGGATGCCGTGTGAATTTCACAATACACTTATAAAATATAATAACATATTTCTTTTATCTTTTATTTATAAATAACTAACATACATAAGTATATTACAATTCGCCGTTGTGTCAATGGAAGGTTTTCTCGAATATTGTGAAAATGTCTATTTCATTTTTATCAAAAGTCGCTTCAAAGCGATTAGCTGTCACAACTTGCCATTGTTTTCCTACATAAGTAACGTTTGAAGTCAAGAGTGCCCAAGTGATATAGAAAGAAATAAGAAATACTCGATTGTATTCAAAACACTAATGAAGTGTAAACAATATTGTGTAAGCGATTTTTCACATTCGACACATATCATATGTGTATCATAACTAATCATCGTATTGTAATGAAAAAACAGGTCAGCATAAAAATAATTATTGATTTTTGTGATAATGGAATTACGTTTAAACTTGCGTTTTGTACGCCTTACTAATCTATTGTCGTTTAAACTCAATTTAAGTTCAATCAATATCTAGTCATTGTCTTATGCAATATTGTTTTGTACTCTACAATGTATATGTAAGTATAAAAATTGGTTATTTGTACTTTTAAGTGTTTGTTAAAATAGTGTTTCTTATGCACTAAAATTATATTGAATCCATATTACCCGTTAAGAAAAAAAAAAAAATTATTTTCTGTGTACGGTTTTAATATTAAATTACTGTTTGTATAATTGGATAACGGCTCTTACACTAAGGGTTGTCCCTACAGTAGGAATACAATACATGAAATTAATTTTATTTATAACGCAATACTAACTCAACGGAATCGTCATCGATTTGAGTACTTTAAAAAAATAAATAAGAAAAAAATTATAGCACGCAATCGAGTGTGATTCGGTCGTAAATAATCCTTGCGACCCTTTCAATTATTGTTGGACAATGGGTCAAGAGTCGTTACAGTTCTATAGACGAATGGACAGACCTTTATCCCAAGTTTTTCTGGCAATATATGTATATATACGTGTTGTCGTTATACATCAACGGGTTTGTATAGTCATTGTGTTACGATCAAAAGGTCACTTGACCTTAACTTTTTTTATTTTATCCCCGAATTTTGCCGGAACTCGTTTGGAACGAATGCAAACATGAAG